ATGAATGAATATTTTGTGCAGTTTAAAGATCCATTGATAATTCATAGAGAAATTGAGTGAAATGGTGGCTAAGCGGAGCAATGTAAATTCTTCTATCATAGTAAGTAACCATAGATCTAATACTAACGGAGTATAATACAGGCCCAATTTAAAGTTGAGTTATGCGCAGTGTTGAATAGTTTTTGCCCTTTATTATAGCCTCATTCTCATTGGCTAATGAACCAATACCTATTTTTTGTCACAGCAAAATCTCAATATAATTCCCTCAACTCTATATTCTGTGTTATTATTATTATTTCTTTAAATAAACGTTCCCTCCCCAAAAGGGAAGAGTACCTAAGCAACCTTTGTTGCAATGGCTAATGTTATGAATTTGAGAATTTGATTTGTAAAAGAAATTTGAGAAAATCTCATGACTCACAAAAGATCCGGCGTGAAAACACTGAACTGTCAAAAGAGAAAAAATTGCATTACTAATCTTCAGCTAGCTTCTTTCTTATCAAAAGCTTATTACATCTAATTGTATTTTTTTAAAATCAAATTCCTAGTCTTCAAATTCAATGAAATTGAGTGCTGAATGTTTGATGTCTTCCCATCTTGACTGGTGAAAAAGAAAAAAAGGCAACTAACATTTCATTCCTGCGTTTTATGCAGAGGTGAGTAGGACACTTTCCAAGGAGCATAATTATGTAGAGATTATGATAATTTGAAGGAAAGAACAACAAGAGCTACGAGGGTATCAGTACTTATTATTAAATAAGTTGTGATGAAAAAAAAATGAACAACAACAACCTTTCATGCTTTCTTATCGATCACTCTCATTGACTCAACTAATAAAATAAATAAAAAAGAATTTTTTAGTATTTAATACTTCAATAAAAAACTTAAAGCCAATAAAGATAAAAATAAAGTTCTGTTTTGTTTAAAATTACATAATCTCAAAATAACAAGGGAATCAGTGTTTGCTTTTTAACCTGACTTTCTTCAGCCAGCATGGAAGAGTTGAATTCTTCCTGGAAATTTTTTGCACAATTTTATTGGCGAGCATTTACAATTTCAACAAATTCAGGTTTCAAAGATGCTCCTCCGACCAAAAATCCATCTATGTCGGGTTCCTTAGCAAGTTCTTTACAATTGGCAGCAGTTACTGACCCTCCATAGATTATTCTCAATGTTTGAGCCACTTTTTCTGAAACATTAGCTTTGAGCCATTCTCGGAGTTGTTTGTGAACCTCTTGAGCCTGAAACAGAGAAAAAAATTTGAAGGTGGAAAAATTGCACAGTTCCGAAACATCATGGCTGTCCCATTTGAAGGAACTATTACTTATGACAAGAATAACTGTGGCTTTCTACGAGGAAAGTGCTGGATTTCAGTAGAATTCTGTAACAATCCTTGAAAAATCAGCATCAATGAGACATCATTTTAAACAGGTCAACCAATAAAAATACATGAAAGTTCACTCTCAAAGTCAGGGGTTGATGATTAAGAAATGGATAAATTTAACTGTAGTCCACTTTCAAGATTTCGGTGTTTTTTTTTTAGAAAACGTCCATCCTATGCCAAATAGGTTACATGAAGCACTTGCTTGAGTGCCAGTTTTTTTTTGTAATTCAGTATCACAAAAATATTAGCAATGCCTGAGCCCTCGATATTTTACAACTTTCTGGAAAAGAGAAAAAATCCTGTGATCCAATAAATTCTATAATCATCTCCGTTCTAAATGAGAAACAATTCTTTCAAATTTCACGATCTGATCCACAGCCCTGAGAATATTAGAGAATGACCTCTTATTCTTTTTTTCTCATCAAAAATGTACTTTTTAAGGCTTCAGGACATCAATGTAGATGGAGCTTTTTGATCTGCGAAAATACAATTTTTGATCAATCATATTTATCATCAATAATTGGTTCCATAGAAAATGAGATGGAAGCTATGAATAGACCTGTCTTAGACTTTTTCATTTCCTTAAACTTCTTGGTGAGCTAAATCAAATTTTTTTTCCAAAATACTTACAGCTAAAATCTTACATGAACAGGACAAAACCTACATGTATCTGTAAATCAAAAGGTTAGAAGAAATATTACCTGTTGAGGAGTTGCCGTCTTTCCAGTTCCAATCGCCCAAACGGGTTCATAAGCAAGGACTACATTCGACCAGTCAGTAATTTTATCAGCTAGGGCTTTTGTCTGTTGATAAACAACTGCCTCCGTCTGACCAGCCTCTCTTTCCTCCAGTTTTTCTCCGATGCAAGCAATAACTGACAGTCCTGTTTCTAATGCATGGATTGTTTTCTCAGCGATTAGCTGGAACATACATTCATGATATTTAGACAACAATAAAAATGAGACATCTAATTAGAGATCAAGAGATCAAAACCTATTCATAGTTTATAATTCAGAACTTTAAAAATTCTTGGATTAAGGAGAACTACACTTCTTCAAAGTCTTGCAACCTTTGCTTCTTAGCTAGATCCTTCAACAGTTATCAAAAGTTGCTTAGAAATGGCACACCCTAAGTGACGATTGAGATTTATACAGGGTGGCCCAGACCTACCGTACCAGGCCTTTTTTTCGGTTAACTTGGGTCGCACGAAGTCCAGGACTGCGGGGATGAATAGGGAATCGACCCCAAAGAATGCAAATTTCATGGTCCCAGAGCCCCCCTGTCGGCCCTTAGGGGGTAAAAGGGGGGTCCGTACTTCAAAAGTCAGGGTTTATGTCAAAATTTTGAAATTATTTCATCGGAATCAGAACGTACGGAAATTTTTAAATTGAATCGACATCAAGAAATCCAAAATCAGCCCATCCGGGTCTAAAATACCGACCCCTAAAGGTGGGGGAACAGGGCCCCCTTTCAAAAAAAATCAAGTTCGTTAAATTGACGTGGAGACTCGGAAAAAATGTGTATTCATGGATAATCGACCTCAATGAATCCAAATTTGAGGGTCCTGTTGTCCTCAGAGACTTTTCTGATGGGGCACAGGGGGTCTCTGAACTTTTGAATTTAACCGGTGCGGAGGTTACCCCTGTGCTCAATCAGTAAAGTCTCTGAGGACAACGGGACCCGCAAATTTGGATTCCTTGAGGTCGATTACCCATGAATACACATTTTTTCCGAGTCTCCACGTCAATTTAACGAACTTGATTTTTTTTTGAAAGGGGGCTCTGTTCCCCACCTTTAGGGGTCGGTATTAGGGACCCGGATGGGCCGATTTTGGATTTCTTGGTGTCGATTCAAGTTAAAAATTTCTGTACGTTCTGATTCCGATGAAATAATTTCAAAATTTTAACATAAACCCTGACTTTTGAAGTACAGACCCCCTTTTAGCCCTAGGGGTCGACGGGGGGCTTTGGGACCATAAAATTCACATTTTTCGGGGTCGATTCCCTATTCATCCCCGCAGTCTTGGACTTCCTGCGACCCAAATTAACCGAAAAAAAGGCCTGGTACGGTAGGTCTAGGCCACCCTGTATATCTCTTGAACTGGTTTTCTTCCTGGCGTTTTAGAGCTTCACTGTTTTTTGCTCAAGAGTATTATTGTTTAAGTATATTAAATTTTCAACAGTGGAGGGGAAGTTGATGATAAATTGTTTGCATCCAATGTTTTTTTTTTAAAAAAAGATGCCAACAGAGGTCCTGTTATAGACAGAAACATAACAGAGGAGTGAAGATCCTGACAGTGAGCAAATTGATGGAGGACTTCTGTAATTTTTTTTTTTTTTTTTTTTGAGAAGGGGGGACTCTTACTTGCATAGTTTGGATGTCTTACTTACCTAACAAAATGAAAAAATTCAGTATTAAAAACTTAATTACTAGTAGTTCCCAATATTATAACTGCAGGCAGCTCTTAGAGCCTATGTAAAGGCTGACTTCACATCCACAGCAACAAGTTTTGCAAACAATATTTTACAGCAGAGTGTTTACTTTAGGAGAAAATCTCCAGTGCATGACAAGAAGGCTTCCTGCATTCCTTCGTTTTTAATTTCAAGCGGTGTAATGAATAAATGACCTCACCACATCATTTTCTCCAAAAACGTTTCGCCTCTCAGAGTGACCCAAGATAACCCAGTCAGCACCAACATCCTTGATTTGTGCAGGACTTATTTCACCTAGAGAAAAATGAAGCACAGAGTCAATATTTAATAATGGTTGATAAGGTAGAGAAATTATCTGCTTAGTGTATCAAGTCAAAGTCAAACAGAATCCAGGGTTTTGTTCATCNGGGGGGGGGGGGGGGGGGGGGGAATAGAAAAGTCTGAAAAGGAAGAAAGATGTGACAGAGACCCAACATCTCATACAGCTAACCGCAACAGCTCATAAACCGTCTCTCAGAGTAAAAGTGAGAAAGTTGGTTTTGAATGCTCTAGAATAATTTATGAGTCCTTTTCCTGCTTCAGAGAAGCTGTAGACCGAGAAATATTGAAACCAAATGCTCCTCTTTGTAAAAAGTTTTCTTGTGAATATTGGTCATTTTCATTCATCATCTTGACCTAAAAATTGTGAGGGTTTATATTTACCAGTGAAAGCTCCTTTGGGAACTTTGTAGGAATTCTGGGCTGAGACTTTCACGTTACTGGGCAAAATGTTTTTGACATGCTCCAAATACACAGCTGGAACTCCAACGACAACCTCTGAAATAAATTAGACACATAAAACAAATTTAAAATCACTAAACAAAATACTTGAGGATAATACAGTTAGATGGCTGAAGTTGAAAATGTATATCTTAGATTGAGTTATGTTAAGTCTCCTATCATGCTTAAATTTTTTAAAGTAAATATAACCGACATTCACGGTTGAAATTTTCGGGTCTTTAAAAACAAAATCTCCTAAAATTGCAGGGAAAATGTCGATTAATTTTTTGTTGGATAAAATTAAACACGAGTAGAGATTTTTGAACGTTGCAATTTAGGTGCACATTTTCAGCATTTAACCATCAAGTTATGATTGAACTTTCCTCAATTTAAGCTGACGACTTGGAAAAAAAGACATATTATCCATAGTGAAGAGAATCTAATAAAAATTGACGATGAGCAGTGCACTTAAAAAAAAAACTTGAAAGATTTTACTAGAAACTTGTAAAAAAATAATAGGTATTCATGAAATAATCTGCAATCATAGTTACCACTAAAAACCGACTTTAAGATCAGAGATGTTGTCTCAAAGCTAATGGAAGTCATTACATACAGATTCCCTTAGTAATCATTATTTGAGTCGTTCTGCTGTGCTATCAACTTAAAATTTACTTTCAGAGCTTGGAAAAGTGTTATCAATGATGCAGTTTTTTTCCGGTGGTGCAGTGTTCAAAGTCCAAAAATCACAAGGCACAGGAATCAGAGGTTTCAACCGTGTTCTGTGCCATTTGATTTCAATCTTCTATTTTTTTAAAGTGTCCTCCAATCGAAAAATCTATGCTAATTTGTGACCCTAAATCACTTTTGACAACCAACAAAATACGACCAGCATTATAAATCAGAGCACCTGCAGAAGGGAAAAACTTGAAATCCAAGTAGTAATGTGTTTAAGAGCTCATGAAAAAAATTGACGTACCATTATTTAGACGTACCAATTAGAAAAATTGCTAACTCAGAAAAAGCAGAGGATCTAAGACCAATTGACTCATTGCCTTTTATTGAGAAAGTGATAGAAGGGATTGTTGTAAAAAGATTAACTGAATACTTGTTAGAAAAGGGAACGATTGTAGATGAGCAGAGAGGATTTAGGATTTAGGAGAGGATTTAGTTGATACAGGGATTGTTGAAGAAATGGAGGGAAAGAAAAAAAAAGGGGGGGGGGACTACAGTTGCGGTATTTCTAGATTTGAAAAGGGCATTTGAGACCGTAAATAGGGCTAAGTTGATTATGAAGTTGAAAAAAATAGAGATAGCTGATGGAGTTTAAAAGTGGTTTAGAAATTATTTACAGGATAGGAGACAGAAAGTAGCGTGGGGTGAAAAATTGTCAGATGAAATGTGCGTGGAGCTGGGAGTACCCCGAGGGAGTAGATTAGGGCCTCTGTTATTTTTAATCTATATAAATAATCTGAAGGAGGTGATGAGGGAGAGCAAATTGAGCCTTTTTGCTGATGATACATTAGTCTTGGAGGAACTGCAATTGGGAGCATTTAGAAATAAGGTAGGGAATGAGTTAATGAAATTCCAAAGAGATAACTGGGGGATGGCGAACTTCTATCGAGATGTTACAGATGGAAAGAGTTTGGCCTGTAGCGAGTGGTTAGGGAAAGGAGTAAATACAGAATAACAGGTTAGGGATTGGCTCGATCTGGTTTGCGAGCAGATTGGAATAATTGGATTCGCCCTTGAGGGCTAGTTAAAACAAAAAAAAAAAAATTGAGTCACCAGTGTTGAAAGTTAAGGAATAGACAATAGTATTATCCTATGACGTGTATGTCCTCCTGACCTCAAGAATGAAAGATACTTAAGGGTAACCAAAGGCTAGTAACAGCTTTGAGGACCATGCGGCTATTGAGGACCACTTTATATTAAAGAAAGATGCTCTCCCCTTAAAATTCATCCAGCAAAAGTAAGTGGCCAGGGAACAAACGTTCGATACTGAGCTGATAAAAATAAATTTGTAAAAGAAAGGATTTTTTGACAGGCAACCCTGATAACGAGTGAGATTTAAGTAGAGAGGCCTTCGATGAGAGCACATGTTTGATGGACGGGAACAAAATTGAGACAAAGTAATCTTCATGGTGCGATTCATTGATGAAATACGTAATAACCAGAATATCCGATGAAAGATCATACAAATTGCATCATCAATAGAGGAGAGCGAAGTGATGAGTTCATTTGATTAGAAAAATCGGGGTAGTTTGTGACAGTGCTCGGAATGTAAAGAACAGAGAGAAAATGAAGAGAGCAAAAAGTTTGGCTCACCAACAGCAGGATCCAGAGGTCCTGTTTTTAAGAACTGCACGATCTGCTCAATTTGGGCTTTGTCACCATTCATTTTCCAGTTGCCACCGACGAAGAATTTTCGACTCATTTTGGAAGGATCAGGAGTAACAGCGTCCGGAGCGTTACAGATGAAAATACGGTAGAGAAAAGGATCTCCGACAGAAATTATCTGCTTTTTATTGAAAAGTTGCTGTTATCACCTTATTATCACCTTGAGTTGAACGTAAACAGAGCAAAGGTTACAGGCAAAGATTACGGGGAACGCTTCCTCCTTGAATCCTTGATGAATGGTAATCTTTGCGTCTGTTTGAGGTTAGGTTTTCCAAAACAACGCGAAACGCGCCAAATTCATGTGATCGAAAGTTAATTTTTTGTATGTCGTAGAATATTATTACACTTATCATATTAAAAATATTTAAATCACTATTCAACCTCGACCAGTGCTCATTGAAGTTATTATTACATTACTGGCTTTATTCAGTCCTTTTTCTAAAGCATAATCTATTCCACTGTGCGAGTGACATTCCGCTGGCATTGTCTTGACTCTATCATTGAACTGCTTTAACTTTTAAATATATTCCTTGGACTGTGATCTATTATGGCAGAAACACTAGAAGACCTAAATTTACCTCAAGCTGTTGTTGCTCGGATAATTAAGGATGCTCTACCAGACGGTGTAAATGTGTCTAAAGAAGCCAGATTAGCTATTGCCCGAGCTGCATCTGTGTTCGTGCTTTATCTCACATCTTGTGCAAACGATGTAGCCACTCAGCATAGCCGTAAAACAATCAACGGACCTGATGTTATTCAAGCGATATCTGATGTTGAGCTGAACATGTTTATTGAACCTTTGAAACAATCTCTCGAAGGTATGTATATATGATTGAACTAACCTGAAGAATTTGCATTATCGTCATCTCATATACATTGGCGGACTGGGACTGAATAATTAAAATTGACTTAAAATAGTAACCCACAGTGCTTAGATTAGCCTATTTCAGCTTTTATGTGCCGTGTGAAGGAAACAACCAGTTTCAAATTACCTTAAGTACCAATTAGCCCACCGGTACTTTTCATAGTGTTCCTGTCAGCCTGTCCACCTGGTCCACCCCTTTTCTCTACTATTTTCTCTTAACTAGTTTGAGGAAGGTAGCCCAAGCATGTAAACCTACAGCTTTGTAACAAGGTGGAGAAGTGGTGCAGGGTCCACACCCTTTTGCGGGGAAACAAAACCAAGAACTTCCAAAAATTATCAATTAGAGTCAAAAAAATGTTTTTGCTCTAATGAGCACCAGTATAAGACTGAAGAGGGGAGAGTGTTCAGCTTGAAGTAGCTTGCATTGGAATAATAAGTTGAGGGCGTGCCGAGAGATCTATAATGTTATCTTTTTAAACCTCATCAGTAGATCACACTCGACAGCATAACATACTTTTCCCTGCATAATGGTGTGGATCCAGCACCATTTCTCCACCTTGTTACATACTGTTCGGGCCATTTTTTTGTGTTTTTTCTCGTTCCTACAGCTATGTATATGAGTACTTATCAATTTTTTATTTGATTCAGTTTTTCCTCCCACAAATCAGACTGAAGATGTGTTCATTAATAATCCTCGAACTACCCTAAAACCTTCAGGAGTTATCTGGCCAGCAAGCTTAAGTTTAGGCACCACCTTCACTTTTATGGAGCCAACAAGGTTTCTAACAATGCATCAGGAAATAAATTGCAGAGCAAGGAGACTACACTAATTCCTTAGCTGCTAACTTTGGTGAGAGGTCCTTTTCAAGCGCACAAGGGTGCTGGGTAAAATTGAAATACTGATGCATATGGTCCTAATGCTAACCACCAATTTAGTATGTTGCGAGTTTGACAATTTTTCTGGAATCCTTATCAAGACAGTTGTTATATGCTAGTATTATGACTGAGCGCTGAACTCATAAGTGAAGCACTTTCGGAGCTATTAATGAAGCCTTCAGTGATTACTGAGATAACCATTGATAGAAATTGAACAGAAGGTAGTTTTATAATTTACTGTTTATTGCCTATCACAATTATTGCTTTATTAATTTCTTTCTTACCATTTCAGGTTTCAAGAAAGTTAAAGAAGCAAAAAAAGGAGCAGCCAAGAAAAGGAGTAGCAAAGAAAACTCGAATCCTAACAATGATGATGAGGAAGTTGTAGAAGATGAACAAAACACATCAGGTCAAGAAGTGCCTGCTGAAGTCGATGAAGATGCAGAGTGAATACTGAATCAATAAGTCTGAATTGAATAAATATTTTAGCACCAGTCAAAAGTAAAAAGATAATGAAGGCACAAGGTTTTAAAGTATCGGAATTTTTTATTTCAGCATCTGTTTCCTATTTCTCTATTTATATCAGTATTTTCCCGAAATGTTTATGTTCGACTATAGCTCCTCGGTATCCGACACTTTGTGCTTCTCTGGCTACTACAGTTTTGTTTTATTTTTTGCCTAAACTTTTTTTAAAAGGAGAAACAAAATTATTCGTCAATAAAAAATAGGGTCACTTTGAGTAATCCCTACTTTCCAGGGCTTTCAAAACCACCTACCTCCTCAATAATTGAAGTGCAGAATGCAGACAGGGCCCCTCTTGTTTACAGTGTATAGAATCTCTCCTAACGTCTCGTCCATTATGATCCAAGCAAAAGTGTGAAATTCGTTGAATGTTACTGATTATTCCTTCGGATTTTACTATGCTCTAGACAGAAATCTTCTGAAAATTCACAGCAAATTAGCAGTAAATATTCTGCACCAATGCAAGCAAGAAGTGCCCCTTTTATACCCAATGCTTCAGTTTGGCCCTCATAAAGTCCTACTTATGCTTTAAGATTCATTTAGTTTTAAAACACTCCCAAGTATAACATTAGATATTCCTGTTCCTGCAAGTAATTTTATACAAGTTTTGGAAGAAGTAATTTGATTATCAATTTTATCGTGTGTATGTTACTCTGATACGAATGTGATTTCATCATACCTTCTTAGGTGTTTTTAAAGAGGTTGCTGAATTTTCTAGTTTGAGTCAGATGTAGATGAATTGGTTATTTTCATTAAGAAGCAAGTCTAATTTTTTGCAAGTTGTGAAGTGCATCAAAATGATGCAAACTAGACTGCCGTACTAAGAAAGGACGTTGCATGAACCTTTGCACATTGCCAAATTTTCTTAAATAAAATATAGTTGTGTTGAGAAACCTACGAATACCTACTCTTCCTCTGATTAATCTCTGAGAAGATGTTACTTCTAGTAGAATCTGAAAATTTCTAGGAGTAATTTTTAAACTACCATTTAAAATACATACATATTTCATTCGAAGAAATTTAGAGACATTTGAATTTTCAAACGGTGTTTTTCCCTAGCACAGTAGTAGGGCTCATCAGCAAATAGACTTGCTCTCCTTTAAAAACAACTACTTTAAATATCTTCTATTCTAATTTTCGTATTTTTTAACTTTTGTAAATGAAGCAACATCTATCTCCATTTTGGAGGTAGAAATCTTCATAAACTTTAACATTTAATACCTCAGTATCTTTAAGTCATTCCAACCAATACACACATTTTTATTCAGGAAATTTGACATTATAGAACAATGTAATTTTATCATTATTGTTTTTTTTTACTCCCTCAAAAGTAAATGACTAGCTTTTTTACCAAAAGCATCAAGGAAAAACTGCTCAATAATTGCTCAAAAATTGCTCTTTTAAAAGTAAGTAGGTAAGTCTCTGATCTCTGTGAGAGCCTTTTTGAAATGGTTCAATTTTTTGAGCCTATCCATGAGTCAAAGCTGGGGCTAATGATAGTGTGAAGCTTTTTTTTTTCAAATTGTCCCACCAGGGGTCAATTATTTTAAGTTCTTAGCAGCCCAAAAAAGCATCGAAATGCGACTCAACATAAAAAAAGTCAGTAGCAAGAGCAACTTGTGGGCACTCTTTTCAATCATAAATTTCCTCTGATTTAACTCAGGATTCACCTTAAGCTCTGCTTTCTCAAGAGGATTTAATGTCACTGAGAAGTGATAGGACCAGGTGCTATAGGATCGCCATTACCTAGACGTTTTCACTATCGAAATTTTTTCAAGAATTTTCTATTGTTTGAAGCACCTGAACGGCGTTACAACTGCCATCCGAGGTAGAGAAATTGGATGGGAGGGGAACACAAAAGCTATCGTGTTACCCTCTTGAATTCCAGTTTTGTGCGTCCATCACACCGACGTAAATTCAAGGTAGAGTAATTCAAGGTAATGAGGATAATCTTTATCTCAAGAAGTCTGTAGACATAAGCACACCCATCCAGCTGAAACATAGTAATGAGAACCTCAAATGCATATGTTTGCGATCTTTCCTGCAATGCTGCAAATTTTGGTTCCTGGTTTAATTTTCGAAGGTAAACTAGTGGACATTATTACGTGGAATCACAAAATATATCGCATCTTCTTCATCCAACAGATAATTTATACGAAATTCAGAAACTGCATTTATTAGTTTTCTCTCCGAAATCGTATCGTAGGTACGTATGATGGCAAACCGGCAACATTCCGCAAAGGAAATGATCCCGCCAATTGTTTTGACAGCTGTCTTTCTGCCACGCGCTTTCGTGATATTTTCATCATTAATCCAACCCCCCGAAAACACAGTAGGAATAATAATATTGTTTCTCGAAAATATGTAACCATGTCCGCACCACAGATTCCAGGACGTACTTACTTTTCCCTTAGATATGCCAGAAAGGGCTTTCTGGTCACTAATAAATGAGAGGAGCAATGCAAATATCTCAATAATAGCTAAGCAAATTTGAAACAAAATTTCAAATGTGTCCAATAGATATATATTTTTTATATACTGCTATAAAATGGCATCAGTCATATCGGTCTGCTTGCGCACAGCTCGCACCAGACGCGTCAATTCAAATTTGGCGCGACGCAAGTTCCCACTAGTACGTCATCAACAACATGGCGTACTAACCTAACATTTTCAGTCACTTTTCTGCGTTTGCGATTTTGGCGATTTTGCATCGAAATTGAATTGAATTGAATATATTGAAAATTTTACTTACTTGTCTCCACCAGTTCCAGTTTTGGCTTTCCTCTTATTGTGAAGTGAATGAACAAAAATCTTGTCATGGTCTTCATTCTAACGATCAGTCATCAGGTTATCCTCAGGAGATTAATTTCTCCTTTCAATTCTTGATCTAACAGCAGTGTTGTTGTGTTGTGCTACCATTGCTTCCTTGAAACCACATACCTCAGCTCTTTTAGAGGGGTCTCATTGGATGGAGAAGGATGGAAAGCTACGTTGATAATGTTTTTTACTTAATGAAGTGAAATACTTTATGATTGTGAACATTGAGCCGTCAGTTTTCATGCAGACACTCTTCGGCCTTCTGAGTGTCAAACCAAAGTGAGTATGCGTGGAATGTCTTATTACATCATTTATGCCCTGAGCGATTTCTTGAGTGGATCATTACAAAGGTCTCAGCTCAATAATTGCCGTTAGGCTATACTCAGTGGTCTTTCATTGCAACATTTAAACTCAGAACTCTGTACTAAAGGTACCAGCAGCGTTCTGACTTAAGATCTGTCTAATGGTGAGCGCATCATACGTTGAGACAAATGTCTATCTCTGATTACCTCTGAATCAGCACCACTCAACAGGTTAATAAACGCAGTCAGATGGCATCACTAATGAGTGGTGACCGAAACAATACTTGACTTTTGTCTCAATATACGATGCGTCCGCTCTTTAACTCAGTGGATTTTGTACCACTCAGCAATGATCGGCTGTAGTAATGATTTTACCGATGAGCCTTGTCCCGATGCTGGATTTAGTTACCTTCAGTTGAATAGCATACATTGATCAGTGTGGAAACTTCATGGTATCAACAGTTAAGTAATTAACTTCAAACCAGTGCACCTTGTCGTCTATTACTTATTCTCCTTATTTATATTTACTTACCTATTCAAATCTCCTTCATGTTATCCCATATTAATCAACAATTTTTTTAATTCACAGCTTACAGAAATGGTAGCTGATCACTGAAATTTGTGAATTCAAAAGGTGTGCTCCATGATTGATGCTGCCAACATGAAACCAGTGCAGATTACTTGTGGTAATTTAATTGATACTATCAGAATCTGATTCATACTTGTCCTTAAGTTGTAAGCTTTCATGAAACTACTACTATCAGCAAATAAGCCTGATCTTAGATTAAGATCAAGAGGCTCATTACTTTGAGGAAAAATTCACCCTTTTGACGTTCACTGCTAATGTGTGCTTGCTAAGTCGTTTCTGTCTGGTTAAAAAGTCACAAAATAGAGCATAGTTTGAACACTTTGAACTGGGCTACATTTTCCTATCAGGAACTACAATCTCTGGCTCACTTAAGAGACAATGTATATACCATTATGGGCATACCCATATTTTATGGATGAGCCAGAAATTGTAGGTCCCAATTGCAAAATGTAGTCCAAATATGGTTTTTGCTGATTGCCTTGACATTAGTGCTACCTACCTCTTGGTTAGCGCAGTCCACTCTACAATCTCTTCCTTTGAAAGCTTGCAAACAGTGCCTCTATCTCACAAAAGGACTCTGAAAAACTGTTGTCCAAACGTCAGTCAACAATCAATATATTAAACAGCCTCTGACCTAGTGTTCGAAACTCACCTTTGAGTTTCAGGAGCCATGTCGTGCATCAAGCTTGATTTTTATGGGCCATTGAAGAGTTTTTGGAGGCCTGATTGACTTTTTGTCTATATATCATGGCACATTTAGTGAAAAGTTAGACACAATATGTTTTAGTTACAGAACTAGTAACTGTAACTTGGGAGACTTTTCGAAAAATCACCAAACAAAAGAATTAGAATTTTTTTTTTGGTGGGGGAGGGGCAATTTTTAGGGGCCACGTCGGCATAAAGCCTTCATTTTTTAGGCGCCATGACCGATTTCTTAGGCGCATTTGGCGTGTTGGCGCCTGTGAGTTTTGAACACTGTTCTGACCTCTAATTTTTGTACTTGCAAGGTTTGCATAGTACAATACCTTCTGGAAACTTTCCCAATTGAAAAAAAGTAGTGAACTTTATGATGCCTGAAACACAGTTTTCAGTTCCTAACTAAGGATGAAGTGGAGTATTTTTCATATAAGTAACTAAGCTATCTTATTTTATTTTTGCTGTTTCAGCATGGCAGGAATGCCATGATGAGAACTCAGGGTATCCTTATTACTGGAACATGACAACCAACGAGGTAACATGGGAGATGCCTGCGGAATATCAGCTTGCTCTGCAAAAGTGGCAACTTCTTCAGCAGCAGCAGTTGAACAGTAAAAAAGGTGAAGATCTTTGATACTTTTATGTGTCCAAAGGCTGAAACCCAAATTTTTGTTTTTTTATTGATTTATTGATTTTTTTTTTTTTTTTAATTCTTACTTGGGATACTTTGAACGTTGCTTTCCAACCAAGTCAGAGTTGGGATGTGAAAGTTATACCTGTTGGAAGCAAAAAACGTTTTTCATTCAGAAATGCCGTGGATGGCCGAACTGCAAAACTACATATCTGCACTGCATTGTATCAAAATTTCCCACTCCTATTGCACCTTTAGTTTCAAAGAGAAACAAACTAAGGCTTGAAATGTATACAAAATATTCTTCTAACAGAGAAGGATTCTTCTATCAAGGAAGTTGTCAAGAAATTATGTTGACTAGTTTTCCAAAGAAAAAATAAAGCATTTGAAAAGGTCTGCTACGTTGCAAATGGAGGTACATGGTTTCGAATTTTGGCCATCAATAGGTTAAGCCAGGTCCTATGCACCCTTGTCCCTCCAAAGTGAGAACGTATCTTTATCCATATTTGAATCACTAAACACAAAAAGGGCACATGTCCAGAAAACCAAATTGTTCAGGAGACACAAAAAACTGTCTATTTCGTGGTAGATATTGTTTGGAAAGTCGTTATATTTAAAAAAAACCGGCGCGGACAGAAGCAGGTCGCCGGTTTTTTTAAACAAAACGACTTTCCAAAAAATATCTACCACAAAATAAACAGTTTTTTGTGTCTCCTGAACAATTTGGTTTTCTGGACATGTGCCCTTTTTGTATTTAGTGATTCATTTGACACACAAATTGCCACCTATAATTTGATATGAGAGTGATAATAATTTTGCTTAAGGTGCTTACTTTAATGTCTATATTGCTGGCTCTCATGGCCATTGAAGTATTTTTCCAGGAATCTAAGTATCTTTATTGAAGGTATCTTTTTTTTAAAAAAAAAAGAAGAAAGAAAGAAAAAAAACCGAAAATTTTTACAGTCTTACTCGCTAAATATTTTTCCATATCTAAGAATATCAAAAGAGTACCCTAGAATTTCACCCTCCTAGATGAAGACTAGATATATTTGGGGGTGCCATCTTTTTTATGAAAAATACTTCATCCAATAACGTAGATAAATATTCTGTTTTGAGAATTAAGAGAATAAAATTTCAGAATTTTGCAAACTAAGAACTGTACCAAATATCCAAAAATTCATTTTTGAGCTTGAGAGCCGCAACTGTGCCTAAGTTCATGTTTTGGCCCATAGTTTATGTAAAAATAAAATTCAACAAGATCTGATATGATGGGTATTACATTTGCTGTTTCCCCGGATGAATTTGCGAGGATGAACCCCTTTAACTCTTTGATATATTTCCTTACCATTAATTATTTTCTGCTTTCAGCTGAAACTTCTTTAAGCAACTCCTCTGCGTCCATTAGTGAAAAGTTGGAAGCTTGTAAAAATAAACTCAGCAATAATCAAAAGGAATCAGCTCTTCCAAAAAAGAAGTATCCATTCGACTCGGATTCAGAGGAAGATGAGTAAGTTAAATTTTCTTCTTCTTTTTCTCTCTTTTTTAATGTGGAAGAAACATTTAACATCTGCCATGGATACCTTCAATACATATAATAGAGAGTATAGAAGGTTAGAGGCCATACCACTGCGCTGATTGGCCAAGCGAGAGTTGCGAACGGACGATGTATGAAAAATTGCCCACGTGAGGGTGGTCTGGCAGCAACATACCCACCGCCAGTCGCTGAAAAACAATAGAAAATAGTAGTTGTATACGTTGCCAACGAGCTCGCTGCGAGTGCTCCTGTTTCAATTTCCTAGCATTGAGTGGGGCCTCTACCTTCTATACTTTCTGACGTATACCTTCAATATGTATTTTGTCATTAACCTTCATGTGAGCAGACAAAAAAGGATGCTGTGTTTGCATATTACATACTCAAAATCAGCATTATCCAGAGTTTTCACTGTCAGGGAAAACATGGAAATGTCAGGGATTTTTAAAAAATCCTTAAGTCAACTTTTTTTTGCTTTCTAAGAAAGGTTTGACGTTTCTAACAACCAATTCGCCTAAAAACTATCTGTAAATATGTCGTTTTAACCATCAGGCATATCTTTAATTGTCAGGGAATTTCACCAAAATGTGTTAGGGAAATCAGGGAATTTCATCTTCTAAATTCTGTGGCTACCCTGATTAACTCAAAATCCATTAAGTGAAGACTTGTTGAGCTTGACTCCTTTTGCGTAAACAGTCACTTTTTCCTTATTCTAGATACTCATGGCTCTTCTCCACGCAAAAACTGAATGCTCTAAAGAGGCTCATAAACAAAATGGTTGACTGTTGCTTTTCGTTGCGTTTTTTGCGTCAGGCTGATGACCTTTGGAGGTACCCAATCTGCCCAAGACACATTACATATAGGTCAGAGCCTAAGATTTTGAGGGAATTTTGTACAAAACTGATGGAGAAATAAAATAATCAGTGCCAGTTTAAGAGCCCCAGTTTGTACGTGGAAAAGAGTCCTCAAAATTTTTGAGTGGTAATAACTTCTAAATCCAAGCAGCTGTATTTTAGCAAATATACACCCACAGATGCAGATCAATTGATTTCTTTCCTAGGAATAGCTTCTCATACAAACGACATTCCACATACTCTGAATTTTTGGATCTGGTGCAATCATTAAGGCTCAGAGAAAATGAATTAATGAAATTTCAGTTTTCCAACATACATCACCATACTCTGTTTACCCTTGGCAGTGCATCAAGTAATGTCCTGTAAAAAGTTCAATTTTTTTCCTCTTACATTTTCATTGGTTTGTTTCATTTCAGGAAAATTGAATTGATCACCTCATATGGGTCAGATTCCAGCGACAGCTCAGATAGTGAAAGCTCTCCCAAATCAAAATCAACTAAGGAAACCTCGAAAGTAAATTCAAGTAAAAATAAGTCAATTGTGCCTCAAATCTCAAAATCTCATAGCAAAGAGGAAGCTCAGACTAAATTTCCTAGCAGTTACGGCCCTTGTTTTCCACCTGGTGCGACAGTCAACACCTCAAATCCGTCCAAAGCAGTAGAAAAATTGGATGGTAAAAAAGGCAAGAGTATTTCGCTGGTTCCATATGGAGATCCGGACACTACCGTGAACAGTGAATCATCTGTTTCTAACCTAAATTCGGATAGCACTGCTGTTGATCATAATTCCTCTGATGAAACCAAAGTTTCAGGAAGTGAATCTGCAACAGCTGAAATTCGATCAGACGAGGAAGAGAGCGACGAAGAAGAATTTGATGAAGATGAAAGTTTGATCTTGTCAAAACTCAGGAGTCAGGCAATGGTTCTCAAACAGCTTGGAGGTGAAATTCCAGATGAAATCAAGTGCTTGATTGACAGTGAAAACCCTGATATTGGTATCGATGACATCATAGCGCTGATAGAGAATGAAACCCCGCCTGATCATGCTACAAACTCAGACTGTGATAAATCATCCTCAAAATCACCATCAACAGATGAAAAAGGGTCTAAAACAGTCGAAGAAGTGAACTCGCCAAAATCAGTGTTGGAAGGAAGCAACCCTGAATTTTCCAAGGCCAATCAACCCTCCTCTTTTGCCTTGATCGCAGGCTACGGTGATGATTCTGATCAAGAGGAATCCAGCTCCCCTCCTAAAAGTAAGTTCTTTTGACCAATGTTTGAATGAAACCAAGAAATTCAGGCCTGATTAATTAATATCAAAGGTTTTTTAAGCTCCAATTTTTTTTTTTTTTTTTTTTTTTTTTTTTTTTTTTTTCTGAAACAGTTCATGATGAAAATCAGATGGCTTTTAGCACCTTAATATTGGGCTTTTTTCCAACTGATTTCATATTTTCACAGTTTGCCATTACCCAACCGAATCCTGTCTGAGGGGCCATTAATAGATTTTGGTATCTATCAAAAAAGTTTGCTCAGATTCCAGCGTTTTCATAGCCAGTTCACCGCTAATATTGTGGCCCCAACTTTGGCCACGATTCCAATTTTTAGGCACCAATAAAAAATATTTTGGGCATGGTGCCTGTTGGATTAGAACATTGCTCTAGACCTCTCATTAATTTTAACATAAAACATATACTAAATGTAGTAACACCTCCACTATCTGCTCATCACTGGTTTGGTGCGGTAATGAGGAACTTTTGCACTTTATTTTTCCAATTTTTTTCCTCATTTTTTTTCGTTTTCTTTGTTTCTCTCTGTACATATTTTACGTTATTTCACGCATTTTTGATTGTCTGACGTTTTTGGCATCCGGCTCAGGTTTCTGCTAAAATTTGACTGCATCTTGCAATTAGGAACTACAATTCCTGGCTCATCTGAAAAAAACACTTATGTGCATAGGGAAACTGATACTTAGAATTTCGTTTTCTTGGGGTCCAACCTCGGTGGTTCGGTTGAACTGTCAGTAACATAAAATACAGCCAGTCAGTCACAAAAAACCTGGACCCTCGAAAATCTTCCCTTCCCTTTTCTAAAAAGGTTTCTTTACTGTTTCAGGCACTGGTAGTGGAACTGGTGCAGTCAAAAGGAAGGCTTTATTTCCCATCGATGAAAAACCAAACAAAAGTCCTGTCCCTAGCAAATTAGAAATAAGTTCAAAACCAGCATTCAAGAAAATCAAACTGTCAGCCAGAGCAAAAGCGTTGATCAACGCTAGTATAATTACCGCAAAGGCACGTGCAACACCCTCTATTCCTCTCTCGGAAGAAAATACGTCAGATGTGAAGTCTGATGTTGCTGCTTGCCCAGCACCAGCTAAGGAGGAGGTACCAGTGGACAGTTTACCTGTGAAAGGTTAGTTTTGCATTATACTTACAATTAATGTAGAATAGTCAGTGGTGGCTGCAGGAAGGATAATGCAACTGGTCTGTTTGAACAGAACACTATGACAAAGGCAGCATGGAAAGTGTCATACTCACTGCAACTACCTATTTCTAAATTTTAAAATCTAAAAAATCTGAAAACAAAATGAATATGTAGGAGCATGAAGCCTCTAAAACAAATTTCAATAGTCTTTGTTTGTATCAATGGTAAAAATATCAAATATCTTAAAAAGTTTTTTAGACTTTGTAATCATCATTGTGATATAATTTACACTTTTTAGAATTTAATAATCATTGATGATTTTATAAAATCTTTTCTGTGCGCTCGAATTATGTCCATTAGTACGATAATTCATTGGTTCTCTCTGCAATTATTAAACTTAAAAAAGTATTTAAGTTAGCTGCATCAACAAGTTGTAGGATATTTTTTTTTTGTCTGCCGTGAATATATTTTAGCCAAAAAAATCTGAAAACCACCAAAAAACTTTATTCGCTTTCCATGTATTTTGGGGCCAATTTTTAGAACATGTATCCTTGTGTTGACTCCTCTATGAAAGTAAAAACTGCACAGAATACCAGTGTTCATAGCGTGATCAAACATGGTGTCAAGTCATTTCTAGTTACCTCTACCACCATTGTGTAATGCTGCGTGCATCGTATGAAAGTTCCTTGAGTAACCTATCGAAATCAAAGCCCAGTTTTGCAAGGAGGGGTTCTTCAAGATTAACTAAGGCTCTCTTTTAGTAAATTTAAGAATGCTATTCTTCCAGATTCATTGTTGGGCCTCGAGTTGATAAAAATTAGGCAAAAAACCTTTTTCTCGGTTTTTCTTTCATGATTTGAAGTCATTTCAAAACATTTTTTGTATGAGATTCAAATGTAAGAGGGAAAGTTGGTATCATAATAATTTAATATCTTAAAATCAAAGGCATAACTAATGAAGAACAGCTCCCTCCGGTTTTTGAAATAAACTATACTTATGAGCTCCCTAAAATAATTTTACTGCAACTTGAATCCATCGTTTTAAATTTGTTATCTTATTTGTTTTCTAGATCCTGTGACAGTAAATCAAGGCGCCTCATCACCAACAGTAGTCAAAGAAGAAATAAAACCTGCACCAAGTGAAAAAGAAGTTAAAGAAGAAAAGAAAATTCAAGAGGTAACAAAGAAAAACATTGCAGTTCCCACTGTTGTTCCTGTGAATGGAATTGGTGCAATTCAAGCTTCTTCGGAAGTGAAACCATCAACATCATCCCTTGCCACTAGCTCAAAATCATTTAAACCCGCTCTCTCAACAGTCTCGTCACAATCAAACTGTTACACTTCTGTTTGGGATAGTGCAACAACATATGCTGTGGATGAAAAAAGAGGTTTTGGTTTCAGTGATGACCTCAAACCTGCCCCCCCTACATCTTCTTCATTTTATCGAAGCAAATCGGAGAAGAAAACTGCCAATATTCAGTTTATCAAGGCTGAAACAATCAATGTTAACCCCCCTGCACCTGTTCCTGTTGTGATTCCTGAGATAGTGAAAGGTGAGAAACCATCGTTTCGTAAGTCGTCCAGATCAAAGAATGATCCTAAAATCTTTGTTTAATCTTTCCTAAGGAACGTATGACTGAAATCTTGAATTTAAAAAGAGACAAGTATGAAAGTGATGAGCCATGAACTTGTTTGACTTCAAAATCTCTTGCAAAGTGGTGGAGTTGTTGCAGTCAGTTTCTTTCAAGATTTATCTTTGTACAAGTTTCAGTGGAATATGATTATTGTAAGTCTTATTGACTTCACTGCCTAAGCAGAATCTTGGAATTTAAATTGCCAATCTTAATACACTTCTATGAAACGTAGGATAAGGCATGAGTTTAAAGCGCTGAGATATTAACTGGCAAATCAATTATGCATACTTCTTGAGATACCTTTTAAAATTGTATTTCAGTGTCTTACTCTTATTCTAAACCATTCTCCTCTTCTTATTTCACTGAATACTCATGGACTGCATCCAAGTATTTTGCTGCGGTATGATGGCGGAGGCTCTGAAAGAGCTTCATATTGTTACAATAATCGCATGTATCCAAAATAATTAGAAAAGAATCAAAGTAAACTCAACCTACAATGCATCTTGATAAAATTCCTTCATTTATTTTATGTTTTAATTGATGTAACGCAGGATGTCTGCAGGTCTGAAAAACCTGAAGAACAAATAATTTCATGGGAATTTTATCAGGTCAAGAAATTTTATGAAAAAGGCTGGAAATTCAAAACATCTTGAAACTTAAAATCTGAAATATTATCAGTGCTTTCCTCACAATTAAACCGAGTCTGAGTCTGATTCAGGGTTCAACGCCCTTAGTTACGCTCTGAAAAGTAAATAGAGGTTTAACTTTAATCAGGAATTGCACCTTTACTCAATTGAATGATTTATATCTGAAGATACATGCAGAAAAAAAGGTAAATGCTTCTGTCATCTGTAGTGAAATTAATGCCAAAAAATCTTTCATTTTGGTCCCATGCATCTAAATTTATAGTAATTATATAAAGTCAGGGAAAACCTAGAGAAGTGAGGAAATTTTTTTCCTCTAATTTTGTAGACACCTTTAAATATTTTTCTCCATCTGGTTTGTGTAGTTACATCCATCCTTTCATTTCTGATTTTACCTCTTTGGAGTTCAAAGTTAGCTTTCTCGAAAAACTTCTCAATTTTACCACCTATCTTTTATCATTCCAGCTGATGATGCCAGTAAAACTGAGATCGAGTCACTGTCTGAAGTAATCATAGAAAAAGTCAGATTCCTCAGTGAGGGAAAAGAGCCTGTATCGCCCGTTCAAATTATGGCAATTCAAGTTGAGGTACTTTCAACTTCTTTGATTTCAGTTATTTTGAAGTATTTTTAACTTTTTCCAGCAAATGAATTTAAAAAAAGTCAAATGAGTGCCACTGATCTGTTTTATCCATGGTTTGAAACGTTTCTTTAACATGTGGTGTACTATGCCAGAAACATGTCAGGGTTTATCGTGCTTTGGTGTCCGGTTGCATGTCTTTAAGTTTCGGGGAATTAAGCCGCCGCAAGATCTAGAAGTTGCTTGAAGTTAGGTGTTGCGGACGTAAAGCAGGAAACGCGTTTTGCTGCTTCTTAAAGCTCGAAACTGCTTTTTTGATAATGAGTCTGAGGCATAAAGTTAAAAGTTATGAAAAGAATGTCTCTAATTTTTATTAATATACTTTTCCCCCTGTAATGAGATATCAGCTTTAAGCTGAGCTGTTGTCTAAGAAACTCCAACATCCCGTCTTACGACCCGTGTGTTTACCACAACCAGTTAGTGTCTCTAATTGGCTGGAAGCTTATGATGTCTTGAAGCGACGCTCAGTGGTTTTATCCACCTTGAAATCCGTTGCAATATTTCTGCTGTACAATTCAAATCACCAACAAAAGGTCTCAATCTAAAAAAATATGTTTACTGCAAACAGCAATAATATCACAAGTAAGGTCAGGATACACAACCTATCATTACAACAGTGCGACCTGAAAGTAATAAAACAAATCTGAATTTAAATCACAACAGAAAAAAAGACACAGTACATAACTATGTATTAAAAAAACCAAATAAAAAAAAAACCGTATTTCACAATCTAAATTCTGCTGTAAAATGTTTCAGACTTTAATGAACGCTTGGCAAGCTAGTTGCCTATCAGGGAAATACCTGCTCAACTGGCTGAATGAGACATCCAAACAATTATCAAGTCTTGAAAAAGAAGCTGCTCCTGGCGGTTGGAAGTGCGAGTGGGACAGGTACGTCTCCAACATCATTTTCCTGCTCCAGCTAATTAATGAAAAGAAACTTTGGTTTTTTCCCTCCCTGTGTGAGCGTTTATCACTTTTCCCTCGAATTAGAACTTTCGTCTCTAAAAACTTTTCCAATTTTCGTGCAAATATTAGATTTGTCAGTATTTTCTATTAGCAACAGAAATCGCTCGCAAAATGTATAAAACTCTTCCTGCGCAAGTATTTCGAGTTTGTAGTGCTGATTCCAGCCAAAGGATTTAACCCGCCATGCAACAGAACTCTGTCCAGCCAGGGTCCCCTTGCTGCTACCTGCCTGTTCAACGTAGCCTGTTACTGTAAGTTACAAAGTTTTATTATTTTATCTATTGCATCTCTTTCCTCAAACTCCAATTTAAATTACTGGCTACTCAGGGATTATTTACTACATTTAGTCATTCAATTATGAAAGTAAAGCCTGTTCAAAAGTGTGCTGACTCAAAAATCCCTACAATCTGAGCAGAGATGACTGCCAAACTGTTCTACATGTGCATAATACCAATTTCAAAATGTTGATAACTAGTAAGAACAAAATTTAAATGAATCTACGAGCATTGAATTCAAATGAGGAACTTTTAATAACAGAGCTGAGTGAACATGATATCCACTCAAGAAAATGATGTTGGTCGGACTAAGAATCTTCTTTTAATTAAAAATTTTTTGAATCCGGAGAGTTTCTAAGTAAAGAGACCGGTGTGGAAAAAGGTAGATGTATGAAAAGATTCTAAATCTCTAGCTTGAAGATTGGAATATTTCCGAACTGGTCTACATGTGATCAGAAATTGAGAAGATGTTGAAGAAAAACAAAGAAAACCATTAGTCCAGGCGCCTGGTAGCTAAAAATGAGGCTATCTGGAATTTTGGGTACACAGCGATTTTTTTGGCTTACTTTATGTTTTTTGGGTCGCTGAATCCGAATCTGAAGTTTCCGCACGCGTATCTGGTGAGCATTTTCCGCTATTTTGAAAAAATGGCCTAAAAAGGCCTTTTTTTGCGGTTTTTTTTATATAGCGGCTACGGATGAGGAAAAGTCCCGGATTTAGCTAATGTTTTGAATAGCTGACAAAATTTGGAAGAAAATGGTATATGAATATGCTAGGTTTGCTCAAAAATTGAGGAACCTCGGATTTCGGAACTTTAGAACGCTTCGGAACTTGGCTGACCGCGGCGAGCCGGATCGCGCGTTGACGGGTGCGCCGCGAAAACGTGAATAGGCGCGATGTTCACGATGCTGTATCTTCCTCAATTTTTAAGCAAACCTAACATATGTATACACCATTTTCTTCCAAATTATGTCAGCTATTCAAAACATTAGCTAAATCCGGGACTTTTCCTCATCCGTAGCCGCTATATCAAAAAAACCGCAAAAAAAGGCCTTTTTAGGCCATTTTTTCAAAATAGCGGAAAATGCTCACCAGATACGCGTGCGGAAACTTCAGATTCGGATTCAGCGACCCAAAAAACATAAAGTAGGCCAAAAAAATCGCTGTGTACCCAAAATTCCAGGTAGACTTACCAGGCGCCTGGACTACATGAACAGTTACAAGAAGAGACAGAAAAAAATCAGCATTTGATTTTGGAGAAGTCATTCAACCATGGAAACCTCAAAAGCATTGGCTAGTCAACATGCTGATTGCTCGAGTTGCCTTCTCATTTTTAAGATACTCTTTACTTATTGTATAACAGGCAATCCACCCTTTTCTTTACTTAGAACAGCTTCAACGCATTTGAGAAAAACCTTTTTAAAAATTTCTTTTTCAAAATGCTTTTGAAGTTATTCTAGTGGAAGGAATCGTGAATTTAGACCTTAAGAAGAAATATCAGTGTGAGCAATCCTTTCAGATTATATCTCTGATGGATACAAGTTTTGCATTACATATCATCCAATACTAATACTCCAATGAACCACTAGACATGGTTTGAAATCAAAAACCTTGTTTTATGTTTGTGCCGAAATTTTATGCAGAATACGATGGACGCATTATAACTTTACAAATTGAGCTTACAAGTTTGAAAATACCGTTTTTGACGATGTTTAGTCACATCCTCTGCTCACAGAAAAACTGGAGTTTATTCAAGTCAGCATGAGCAGTAAACTGGTTTCAGTATTTTTTACAGCGGAAGACTTTTCCTGAGTGCTAATTTTTTTTTGAGAAGATGAAAGGCTCTTTGTATCAGCAGAGGAAGGAAAATGAGAGTGAACCCAAGGGCTAGTTGTTTGCCTAACGTATAGGTTTATTTCAATGCCTAATTTGACCCACATTGATCATGGCTTTTTTCCGAAGGGAAAAGTTTGAATTTACTGCTTTTGTAATTTATGAACGTTTTTCTTCACTGATAAGGTAATTTCTAAAGTTTTTGATATGCCTAGTGTCTTCTGTGTGAAATTTTGACGCAAAAACATGTGCTGTGGTGCTTAATTTCTCACCCTATCTAGTGGTCTGTTATTAGAACTTTTAATAGAAAGTAAACTTTACGGACTGTCACCGAAAAGTTCTAAGTAAGAAAGGGGAAAAATTCTCTGCATCTTTTCAAATTGTAGGTTTTTGCATAGACGAGTATTGCTTTTGAGCCGAAACTAAAGTTCAAGATCCGTGAAAGCTGTCTAAGTGGTCTTTAAGCCGAGATCTCTCTCTGCTGCAATCCGTATGAATAGAGGGAAACTGAATGAAATCTTTAATTGGGGTAGGTAATATTATGAACCCTGTGCAGAGCTGAAAAGAAACCCCCTCCTCATAGTGTGAAATGTCTGAGATTTATTTCCTAAAAACACATTCACCGTATCAACCCTCTTATATAAAGTTCAGGCCCTCATTTTTTTTCCTCTGTGAAATTTTTTGTTCTATCATTTGGAATCTTCTCACCCCCAATGAAACATAACATAAAGTGGAAATCTCCATGCGACATTCAGTTGATTCCTGTTACTCTTAAGGTTTGTCCTCAAGCCACCCCAATTATGAGGAAATGATCTTCCTCGTGTTTACTTCCCATTAAGAAAACAAATAAGAGCAGCTTCAACAGAGAGCTATTGATTTTTTCTTCTTTTCTTTTTAAATTTTCAGTGAAGGAAAATGATCCCTTTTCCAACCCTGTCCCAAACTTTTTAGAGTGTCAAACTGACCAAATCTTTTAGCCTTCTAGAAGCCAGCAGCTTTCACAAGTAAAGGAATTATCTTCAGGTAGAATTTGATGAAATCAAAACATGTTACTTTCCTTATCATCTTGAACAAAAGCTCTATTGATTGCTCAATTCTGTTTTGGCTAAAGTAAAAAAATGTGTTTTTCAGATTGCAATGTTCTGATTCTCCATTTTTGTTTGATTATTTGAAAAGAAAACTGATCAACAGTTTGTATTGAAATTTTCTGTGAAATTTCTCCACTCAATCCAAAAAAAAAATGGATTATTCCGCCTTTGTTAAGATGTATTCACACCAAACTTAAAGTGATGTGCAACCTAATTTTTGCTGTTATTGAGGTAAATGTCTTGAAAATTTCTAAAAGAAAATCCAAGTGTAGAGGTCTTGGGCTCGGGACAATACGGAGAGTAACATATGTTAAATTCATCCAATTCCACCGTAAGGCGCCCCTTTCTTGATATTAGTCATCGATTCTAGTTCTTTTATTTGTTTCCTAGCTGTGTATTTTCTCCTACTATACAATCTTCTGGTTTTCTGTGATTTATGCTTTGATCTTCGCTGTTCTAGGTTTTTTTACACCAGGAGGCTTATCAAATTGAACCAAAAAAAAAGTGTTAAAACATTATTTGTCACAATCTTTATCTGTTTTAATAAAAATTAGCAAAGCAGTAGCAAAATAAATGAGGAGAAGATCATGCTTGCACTCGGTGAATCATTCATCAACTTGTAGCTATTTTTTCCCTCCTCCCTAGCAGTCGCAAGGGTCAGAATTTTTTTTATTTTTTTTATTTTTTGTTCTTAAGCACTAATGTGACTTATCATTTTAATTTTAATATGACTATAATCATTCAACCATCCTGGAGATATTTTGTCATTAATCCATTTTTATGACCTAATGAGAATTTATGATGAGTTATCAAAATCAGTAATGACAAAAACTTTTATGACTCAACCTTTAAGACACTCATTTAAGTGACTGCAGAATTTGAGCGTGGATTTAGAGGAGTTGTGTGGTCAGGATAAACATGAAACCGGTCAAATCATCCTAGAACTTGCATCGGATAAGTGTGTAGTTGTTCACTTTGACTGTCGAGTGCAGTTGATTATTGCAAGTGGAAAGTAAACCACTGCCAACTTATCGGATGCAAGTTCTAGCTGATAGAGGGAGATGAACTTCTAGAAAGAGAACTGTATTTTAATTTTTTTATAGGTGAAAAAGGTCATTGATTGAGCAAACCAAGTGCAAAAATTAAAAAGCATGTGGAACTTGAATTCCTAATCACACATATATTTTGAATGATGATGTGCAATAAAGTTTCATCCGTCAAATTTTCAGGAAACTATCAGTCTATTGGAAACTAGCAAAGATGCCTTTCTGACAGGCATACCATCCCTTTTTACTTACTATTCCTTGTTTTTGCAATTATAATTTAATATATGTTTCCAACTACAAGAAGTTGTAATGGTTTGTATTCACAGCAAACCGATCACAAATCACCATAATTTTAGTATTCAACCGGTTCCTTTTCATTATTTTCTATTTTTTCCTTTATTCATTTTTGATTAGTGTTCAAAGATCGAAAAATTTCAGCTATTTTATGCTCATAGCCAGCATTCTACAATAAATTTGATCAGTGATCCTAAAATTTTAGCTTGTTCGACTTGTACAAGACCCTGACTTTGCGCTGTACCCACCTTGCAATTAATATCAAGACCGTCATTTCAAAAACAAGATCTAACCTAGGAAAGACTGGCAAAAACAACGCAACCGCTGCACGTAGTTCTGCCGTCTTTCTTCAATTAGCAGTACTCACTGGAGCTGTGGAACCCTGCCAGATTCATGATTAGCATACCGGAAAGTTGCAAGTCTCATTTTCCAGCTGAGATCATTTTCTGAGGTCTTTGGAAATTTTTTGATGTCAAACAGAGCCTCTATTTTGTGAGAAAAGGATCTGTAAAAACTTTGGTTTGATAAGTTACTGATTTAAATATTTATTTATTGGTCGTTCTATCTTTTTTTCCTGAAAAGAAGAAAGAGGGGAAACCTATTCAGTAGTTTTTTCTTCAACCTTTTTCCAATTATTTTCCTCGTACACATTTTAAATGAGAGGTCAGCTGTGCAGGTTTTAAGATTTCATTCGGGTTTTTGTAGTATTGGCCTCTTTAATGAAGTCTATGCTATGAAAAGTGAAGGGTAAAGAGCGAAGTCAAGTTGTATCGGCTGAATCTATTGTTTAAGAGTGATTGGCATTATTGAGCTTGGATTGTTCAAATGAGCCAATAATTAGAATTCAATCCTTAAACAGTAGCCAGTCACTAACTCTAGCTTTCCCTCCCCTTTTCAAGACATACACTGAAGGAAAATAGAACAAACTGCAGTTCCTTGCCAGTAAGAACTGCCGTGCTTACACTTATGCATTTGAATGCTCCTGTATTTGTGAGTCTATCAAATAGTAAGAGGAATTATAACAAACAAAGATGTCAAAATTTAATCTAAAAAATCCAGTAGATTTTGGTTGGTTATAGGAGTTGATGAGTCGAAATGTTCATGCGAAAGGGATTTTTAGTACAAGAAGTTGACTTAAATGCGTAAAGCCCTAGCTCTGGATGGGGTTCGGTGTTTCGGATAATGGTATATGTCAGAAAAAACTTATGAAATTCCGAAGAAGAAAAAGTGCGATTTATGATGACGAGGAAGAGATCCTAAAGAACAATTTCGGCCCCTAAAAATCAATTCTAAAACTAAGTTGAAGTTTACAAATATTCTGAAAGTTTCACACAATATGTTGTGGAATCTCAAAAGAGTTTCCCAGGGCTGTTAAGATCGCGAATTTTAAATTTTGTCTGAAGCATTTTGATGAGACATAAATTACATTAAAGACTGGCTTAGTCATCAAGAGGCTCAGGTGAAGGATGCGTAGTGAGACAAACAGTAAGTATGTCAAGGTTCTTGTCTTCTCATATCTTACTTGAAATTTTTCACTGTCTACCCGAATATTTAAGTTAGTTTTAGTATGTGTCTTTTTGTTTTGTGATTCGGGATGGGAAATCTGCCTCACTGAAGGTGTTGCAAATTTTTCCAAATTTTCGAAATCTTTACTTTAATTTTCGAAGTCGGAAATTTTTTTTTTAAACGGTTTGATCTTACGACACATGCTGTCTTCATTTGAGTTGAGCAAGAAATTTATGGCTGCAATTCAGAATCACTCATTAAACAAACAAATCACACGAAACGTTTAAGGAAACTGTGTCCAACCTCATCAGAATCAAAATATAACGAGGATGTTTGTCATCTTAAGCTAAGAACGAACTACTTTTTAATTTTTAAAACTTCTAGCCATGAACTATTTCAACTCAATTCAGATTATACATTTTTTGTAATTTTTAACCGAACTGAAGGGTCAAAAGAAGGCAGAAAGGTTTTTTTAAAAAAAAAAACATTATTAATAAAAGTGATTTTCGTTTATCAGTACCAGTATATATACATGAAATTGGTTGAGTTTTAGCCCAAATGCTATTTTATTACAGTGTTTGGGCTAAAAATTCAACCTATTTCTCACCAAAGAAAATCATGTAGTTTTCCCTCGCTTACTTGTCACTGGCCTATTTTTTCTGTGTTGTCAATTTGGTTGGTTTACATATCAGTAAAACCAACATTTAATAAATAAGTGAACCAGTAAAACGAATGAGAAAATGCAAATTTGTTAGGAATGAAAATAACTCCTTCCTGACATTTTTCAATTGCACCCACGACATTCTGATTTCCCCTTGTCTAATAATGGATGCAAATATGCTGCATGTATTTCCCAAAATGAGCATACTTGACTTGTTAATTTTAAATTATTTTAAAACTTAAGAAACATCATGTTTTTAAAGCTGTTTTTTGCTTTAAATTAAATCACAAGGCTACAGGGCTAACAGTTGACAAAAAATTCTAATCAAGCCTCCAAGAAATTTCTTTTTAAGAGAAGATTTTATAGATAAAAACCAGTTTCCCTCAGATTTTGAAAATTACTACTTGAGAGTCAGGGGGGTAATTTTTTTTTTTTAAATGTGTATCATATTTACTGAAACAAGAGATTTTCTTCAAATGCGTAGCAGCTTTAAAGAGAAGGGCTGTTCAAAGTAAATGATCGTCACTGAGATCCCCTCATGATAATGAATTCTCTCATTCAACTCATGCAAGCTGGAAACATCTGCATTATTAAAATTGATAACGAGCGTATCCTAGAGATAAAGCTATGGAAGTACAAATGGTATCCTTCATGAATATTTTTAAGTTTTAAAGGATACTATGTCATCATCAGCTGTGATCATTTCTTTTGGCATCAGAATATTCTCATCAGGCAGCTCTCATTGAAGCACTCCAATTTTTTTACTCTATTTTCCACAAAACAAAATGTTAGGTCTGCAAAATTTTCGAAATTATTATTATGCTCAGTAGGTACTGGACATGTAGAAGGCTTTTGTCGATCAAATTGGATAGCAAAATTTATCTCTCTTTATTTTTTATGATTCAATTAATCTCACAAGATTTGTTTTGTTTGTTTTGGTTTCCCTTGTAGATCTTTCAATCGATATTATTATCGAAACTTAGAAACCGGTCGCATTCAGTGGGAATATCCGCTTCCGCTCGCCAACGAAAATGAGGAAACTATTGAAGAAGTTGAAATGGAGCTCTGCGAGACGCCACCTCCTCCATCGTCTCCACTCCCACAACCTCCCGCAACACCCCCTCCTCCTTCTGAGGAACCACCTCTACCCAAAACACCCCCTCCACCAGTCATATCCTTCAGTCCTCCTCCACCACCTGTCATTTCGGGCTTTAAATCCAGCGTCAAGAAGACAGTGAACAAAAGTAAGCCATTTATGATCAAGTCCATTTTTTTTCTTTCCTTTTTTTACACATGCATTTTATTGAACAAAGCACTGTTGATATTCAGATTATACGAGTCCTCACATTTTCCTGTAACTTAGCAATTGTTATTGGCTTCTTTAGCTTTGTTGAAACCGTGCGAGGAGAACAGCCTCTAAGGCCTTTTTTACATCATGGCTTCTCAGTTTTTACCACTGCTCCTTGCCCTTACCTCAAAAGATAGTAGATTTTAGCCATTGCAAGAATCACTTTAGAAAAATGAAAGTTTCAGTGTCTGGATTAATTGAGGCACTGTATGTGAAAAGGGCACTTCTCGGTTGCAGTGTTTCAGGGCCTCCTCTAATATTTGATTCATTGTAAGAAAAGTGAATGCATCCATTCCACTAAAAATTTCACTGAATATTCCTTATGATTCTACAATTTCCTATGGAAAGAATTCTGGCAAAATCTCCCATTCAATTCTGCTCCAAGGGATTAATTAGCAACAGAAATTATGAAACACTGCAATCAAGAAGTGCCCTTTTCGCATCCAGTGCCTCAATTGGACGTATTTATGCGTTCTCAGTGAAAGTGTATAAAATTTATCATCTAATACCCAATCAATGTAGATTGTATTATGAGAACCAAGCATTGACAATGAAATTTTGTAATATTGCAAGGGGGAGTGTAATTTCTAGCAGAAGAATCCGGTCATCAATCAGGAAGCATTGTTAAAAAATGTCTCAATCTATTTGTTTAATGCACCCTTTTTCATTGCTCAGTGCCACTCATTTTTAAATCTTTTTCTTTTTTCCAGAAAAATCAAAGTCTGAAAACCTGTCGATAGAGCTGCCACCTTTGCCAGAGAATCCGCCTTTGCCGAAAAATCCTCCTCCCCCTCCACCAGCAGACGCTCCTCCTCCTCCTCTCCCTCCTCTTCCCCCCTCCGATCCCAAGAGTATCAGCGCTCCTTTGCCTCCAAGCTCTGCTGTTGGAACTAATCAGACACAGAGAATTTTAAAGGAGTTTAACCAGAATAACGCTCAAATCTTTGCAGGTCAGCAACTCCCTCCTCCCCCTCCATCTTATCCTCCACCCTCGCCGCAGCAACGCACATCTGAATCTCTTAAACCTGCTTTACCGGCAACTCAGCGGCCCATGTTTCCCTCTGTCTGTGTGTCTGCACCAAGGAGTCTCACCAATAAAGTACCTGATAAAATAGTGAGTATTTTTATCTTTTTACTACTTTATTTAGGTTTTTAGAAGTGATTCATCTCTCTATAACCTTCTCTTGTTTACTTAGTTGTAATTTCACTATTCTTCGAAAATGTTACCTTGTAGAAAGGTGCTTTAAGACTTTAAGGCTTTATTTTACTCCCACTTCAAGCACCTCACAAGTGTTAATCCTGCGCTTATTCAGTCGGAGCCCCCCCCCCCTCCTCCTCTCAGTCTTATCCTTACAACCTGCCTAAGCAGTTGTTGTTTGAGACTATCAAACTTGGGTCGGCCAACAGGGAATCAAACCTAGGAACTCTTGATCGTGGTTCCAGTCCGAAGACTACTACTTTTTAGGAGGCCGAGAGGCATTTGAAATGAATTTTTGACCTCCTTGGCCTTGAATTCGAATGGCATTTTTTGGCAACATTCTGGTTTTGAATAACAGTGACTACTGAATGTGAGGCATCGCATCCAATCAGTTCCTCAACCAACTTTATCAGAGCTGGAAAAAGAATTGTGCAGAAATTCACCTTGTGAAACCGAAAAACTTACATAGTAATTTCATTGTAACCAGAATAAAAGTTAAAACTGCACTGTCATGAAGCTCAAGTGAGGTAAAGCAAACCTAGAAATATCAAAGAAGAATTTTGGAAATTTGTCTTTGCAGGAAGAGAGCTCTACCTTTCTTAAATATTATGATCATGATTGGATAGAAAATAGAAGAATAAGATTACATGGCTCCATCACCTGTTCATTTTGATATATTTTATTGAGGATGCTGTGTGTCATTCTTCCAATAAATTTTATAATGTTTTCATTTCAGTCTCACCAAGTGATCGAGACTCCAGCATACTCAGTGCAGCCTGCACAACCTCCACTCCCTCCATCAGTCACAGACCTAAATTCAGCTTTGGATAGCTTCTACTCTGATATTGCTAGTTTAGAGGCCAATGTTCCTGAAGAGACATCAAAGTCTGAACCTAGTGCACCATCGTCAGGTCATATTGGTGCAAGTGCACCGTTACCAGGACCTACTCCTGCTGAAACTGAGTCACCAAGTCTTCCAAAAAAGAAAAAGAAGGTTAGTGTCGATCCATTTTATAAAAAGGCTGAAAAAGGCCAAACTACTGTAAACAAGCTTTTTAACTGATTATCCTAAAATCAACATAGGATGAGATACACTCTTGATCAATATCACCAAAATAATGTCCGTTATCTTTTCTCCTGAATGCACGTCTTTAATTTCATAATTTCTCGATGATTTAGTGATAAGAAGTAACATGAGGGTGCCTCAAAAATTAACAGTTTTCTTTCAACGAGTTTTGAACCATCAACTCGAATTTTGGTTTCATTTAAAAGTAGACCAAAAAATACAACAAACAACGTATCTCTCCAAAGCTCTATCTAAAGGGTGAAATTTGCGTGGGAAATAAGGACTCCTGGTAAGTTCCTCTTGAAAATGGGTAGAAAGATAAGGCCCTTGCAAAATCACTTCTTCCATTTACAGTTTACCGTTTTGAGAGACAGGAAGTAAACATTCGTAAAATGGATTCTTATTTTGAGATTATATCTTAAGCTTTTTTAACAGAAATGTCAAGACTTTTAACTGTCTCCTCCACAAGGATCCTCCTGTTTAGACTGATTTAGTGACTACGTCATTCGATATAACATGGAACTCTTGGTTCAAACCAAAACAGACTAACATAACCTCATGTGCGAATTCTTCATGAGTTAATTGTGCTAATTTATTAAGATTTAGTCATTGATCGGTCCTAAATCAACTAAAGACTCATTAATTACGAGAACTTTCGATTGTAAGAAACACCCAGACGCATTTTATAACCATGGTGCATAGGGCGCGAATGAGGGCAAAATGGCACAAATCAGAAACAATGTTTCATGTTTGTTTGCATTTGAACCAAGGGTTCGATATTATATCAAATGACGTAGCCACTGAATCAGTCTATTCTTTGATAAGTTCATGAAGTGTTGAAGTGTTTGAAGTGAAACATTCACCTCTGGCTGTGCAGTGTACAGACCTGGGTCTCATACGACTATCCCCATCGAGCAAATCAGTTTTTCTCACTTTAAACTTGTACTGCCATTCACAAACTTGTGTGTAATTAATGATCTGAGAACCACAAACTGTATCAAACTCAATCAAAATGAAGATCAACAATAGAAAGCTTTCTATCTGCGATAAATACATTCATTGACTTCAAAATACATTTACGTAGGAAATCATGAAACATTGATTTTTATTCAGGAGGTCCTTTACATTTTTTAAACAATTTCATAGATAAAGATCTACAAAGACGAGTGTTTTTGATAATTCACCTGCAAGATATATTTCTTCTCAGGTCATTTTACATGAGACTAGACTAATTTCAGCTCAATCGGAGAACTTCTGATTTTGACCCCAAAATTTTTTCATCATGGAAAAATCGCAGCTGAAAATCTGACAAATGTAGTCCAGTATATATTTAAGGCCACTTCTAAATGCAATTAAAATCAAAATAATTTTATCTGCAACCGATTAAAAGTAATCGCAAAAAATATATTTAAGCCATCTTGTATATTTTCTCTGCTGAGGACAGTTGAGGTTGACCTCCATCTCTTTCAGGCTCTACAAATGCGTATTGGACCATGTATATTATACTTTATTTCCTTATGAACTCCAAATAGTGTTAATAATTTTTTTTTTATTATTATTTGGCAGGTGAAACTTGCAGCTGGTTTGACGCTAAAGAAGAAGGGTCTTGACTCCCTCGTTGCAAAGTGGGAAAAAGTACATAAAAGTGTCTGTGATTAAACCTGTTACTTTATTTTTAAGTTTTATTTATTGAATGCATGAAATTATTTTTGCCATCTTGTAATTTGTGTAAAGTTTTTTAAGTGAATCTTTTGTTTCCTCGTGTAAATTATTCTGACTTTTTAGAATCGTATTTTTTGTTGGGTTGTAAACATGAGTTGTTCTTTATGAACCTAATTCATAATGATATCAAAGCTAATTATTGACCCTAATAATAAGTGGTTACAACATTAATTTTTTTTTTCTAAGGAAGTTTTATCACCAGTCGAGTGTATAAAAAAACTATTTCTAGGAGGAACTTTTCATGTTTTCAAATTTTTTTACACCAGTATCAAGATGCCTGCAAAGAATGTTCAAAATTGAAATTTTTTTGCGGGCGTCTGAGATACTAGTAATAGAAACGGCTTTGCCCCACTAATTATTTGCCTCAGGACTGATAGGAAAAAATATGCTTAAAACAAAGGGAACACTTAGGGCTCTTTCAGTGGAAGCCTGTGTTGTTAACAACTAGGATTGAGTCAGAGAGAATAGAGGTTTGATTAAGGCACTTTTCTCACACACCATGAATAAAATTTTCTCCTGCCAGTAAGGTCATATGAACCGTATTTTCTTGCACTCTAAACTTTAATGTCAGTCACTACTCCAGCGCCACCTGCTGTGAATACACATTTGTATTCATCATCATCATTCGTGTTAAGTTCGTGTAATGATCAGTTTCGTCTATCTTTTTCATATTTATCCATCATCATTAGCTGGAATTTCATTGGTATTCATGTTAATTTCCCTCCTGGCCCTAGATAAAATCGTCTTTTTTTAAATTGAAGTATTTCTTCTTCATTAATCCTAAGTTTCCTTCAAATCCTAGCCGTGATGCATCATGAGCAAAAACTGGAAGTTTCTCTAAGTTATGGGGATGCAAAAGTCCATTTGAAAATATTTCTCAGCAAAAAATCTTTCCCTTTTCTTGCTGCCTTGTATGCAACAAACATGTGAATTCACTTCTCTCCAAGCCATTCAGAAGCGAAATATATTCATGACAGAAGTAAAAAATGTGTATTTTATATTGCAACTTTGTAAGTCACAGACATGTCTGTTTGAGAGAAAACTGACCAACAGTTCTATAGCAACTAAATCTGTGAATTGTCTTCACCGATTCTTTAAAAATTATACTAAATCGCAAAAAAAAAAAAAAAAAAAAAAAAAAAAAAATAGATTCGTTTCTAAGGAAAACAAAACAAAATTGGCGATTTTTAAAGGATAAACTCATTTTTCGCAGCTCAGTTATATATATGTACACTTCTTTCATAATGAAATTTTTATGATAATTTGAGAAATTTTAGCAAAAAAAGGCTACTTATCATGAAGACCTTTGGTAGCATGGTTTTTTCCACCGATGAGTATGATAATTCATCTTTATTTTATCCTGCCTTTTCATTATTTAAGAAAGACAAATGAGAGCAGAGGAAATTGAATTCACAAATCAGACTGAACGAAGAATTTTTGCAATTTATTGTGAACAATTACTATAGATAAAACCATTACATTCATTGGATAAAAAATTATGAACAGAAAAATTAAATTCAAATTAACCTAGAAGAAAATTTCATGCACTAGAACGATTCATTCTTCCTTTCCTGCCAACTTTAATTTCTTAAAATTGGTGACAAAAAGGATTCACAATAAAACAAAAATGAAAGAGAATTCATAAAAAAACATGCTAATAAACTTCAGGAGAATTTAACAGGAATTCCATAAACTACAAGTCCTGCAGAATTAACATAGTAGACACAAGATTCCCGGGCAAACCTCAGAGAGCGTAATAATTCCGGCTCAGATTTGACTACGATCTCAACTTTCCCCGAGATGAAACCTAAAAATGAGAAAAATCAACAAATTATGTATACAATTTTTAAAATTCTAAAATCGGATAAGGCCCTAAACGGACCATGTATACATTCTAAGAAAGCTATTCGGATCAAAAAAGGTACTTTTTACGAGGGATCTAAGAAATAGGAACCTCTTACTCTCGTGGTACTTGTAGAGTCCCTTTATACTGAGAGTCAAGACAGCACCCCTCATGGAGTCACAAACGGGAATAAAGATTACAGAAATTGAACGTTTTTCGTAATCTTTGATCGGCACATTCTCGAATTCCTTTCTTCGTTCCTTCCCTCATTCCGTTTGTTCCTTGCCGAACCCGTAATTCCCCGGTCCAGTCCAGATTATAATCTTTGCAATCGGTGAAACTGTAATCTTTATTCCCGTTTGTGACACTGTGAAAGCCTAAAAATACGGGAACCAATCAGAAATGGATTCGCATTGTCTTGACTCTCAGTATAAAGGGACTCTAGGCACTTGTAGAGTGAAATTGTCAACAAATTTGAGTTAAACGGTAGTTTTAAGATTGTCTACAACCATAGGTCTTGCTGCTGAAAATCTATTGTCCGCAGAAAATATTAACATACAGGAAGTTGACTCTAAGTCAACTTCCTGTAGTTATTTTTACAATGATCCTCATGGAGAGGTGAAACCGCAAACCCATCTTTCCCTGTTCTGAATTCATGTCACTTGATTCCCTTTCGCTAATAGCTACCCAAATAACTGTCAAATTCTAACCATCACTAAATATTTGATTTTTCTAGCTACCTACGTGTAAAGAATTTACACCAGAAATGTCTCCTTTTTAGATAGCAATGACTAGCGCAAATTGGAACTGTTTTGAAATCGATTTGCCAATTTTCCGGTTTCTTAAAAGATCCACTATCTTAATTTTGAAATAAAAAGATAATCCTTTTTTTTTTTTTTTTTTTTTTTCCAAGATGAAAGATGCATGCAAACAGTTTCATATGTTTTCCCGCTCTTCTGAAATTCCTCAATCGAACAATTTTGATTATTTTTAGCAAAATCTAAGTAAGCGGGTGAATCTCCTTGTTTTTGCAGGCGTAGTATGAGATGGAACAAAAGAAACTTACTTGCTATTTCTGCGGATTTTCCAGGAAGCCAGTTATTTAAAAGAGTGACACACATGTTGTCAGCATCATTACTTGTAACTTTCCACAGCATGCCTAGCACACATGGACTGAAAAAAAAAAAAAAAATCAAACGTTACTTTGAGGAAAGCCAAGTTCATAATAAACGATCTTGAAAAGAGGTTTACAGAAAAGTTTGAATGCCAAGCCTGTGAAACACTAGTTTCAAAAGGGTTTAAAGTAACATTTATCAATATAAAATCATTTACTTAAATTAACAATATAATATATAATATTCCTGGAATAAATCGCTGATACTATGTTGATTTAATTGTTTTGGTCATTGGTTTATTTACTGGTCCTTGTATGCTCGTGCAATAATTTGTAATTTTTGTATTCATTTGATGGATAAAAGTTTAAAATAGCACCCACAAATAAGTAAAAAATAGACATACTCTTAAACGGGTAAAGAGAGGGTAAGAATAAGTGAAAGTACAGGCATTTGTGATCGAGTTTCGATGTAGGATAACAATGCCATTATAAAAGCACAATGCATCTCACTATCAATACTTGGTTACCATATCTCATGATCAGACAAACTTTTTCTTCAGGTTCTCAATTTAAATACATACTAATCGAAGACAATAATTTTGGCACTCTCTCCAATTTGCCTCCCAGGAAGTAGGCATATGCATGGTCAAACAGCAAAAACTTGTATCTGATCTGCGGTGCTTCAAAATTTCCTCTCCTATTTTTTCTTCTCTGAGGAGAGAATCACTGAACATTTTTCACACAATCTTCACCATGTAATCGGAAAAAGAATCACTGAAACTTTCCATTGGAAATGCCCAAGAGTTTCCTAGTATAAATTTAATTTGCGAGGAAAAATTTTGGAGCGCTGAAATGTAGTTACGTTCCTTTGTATGGAAAACAACAAAATGGCTGAGAAAATCACTAATCATTACCTGCCGGCAGTGAGGTACTTCATGGCTAAACCAGATATACATACTCTTCCTCCAAAATCCTCCATTTTTACACTGCTACAACCAAACAGTAGAGGAATGGCTTTGACATCTAAGCTAAAAATCATATCACTTGAAAAATATTGAGTTCCATTCCCATGGCCGCAATACCTGAAACAATAAAATTCAGTAAGAGCCGCCAATCCTTTCCAAAAAACATGACATTCAGGGGTATTTATTTTTTTTTTTTTTTTAAGAATTCTTTATTCCAAAAATTACAAAGTATATAAATACAAAGTAACAAACATGGTATTGTGGAATATAAATTAACTCTGGCAACAACTATCGTTAGATATTAATCTGCACTTTGAAGAAAAATGTTAATACAACTACCACTTAAGGGTTTAGACTTGGCCGTCTTGGACCAAAACTCCGAGGGAATTGTACAACTCATCAGGGGAAAAACACGCTAGAAAACCCTGATATTTCTGAAGGATGGAGTTTATTAAAGTAGGGTTAAGCCCTTTGCAGATTGTGGGGAAAAACCCGAAGGTAAAAAAACCCCACGAGGTGGTGGGTGGACCTAGCGCCCACAGGGGTGTAAAGTGCCCCTGCTTCGTCCGGTATAACCCAGTCAGGTTCGTGTGGGATGCCAACTTCACCAGGAATCCGTGCGTTCCACCTCCAGACGTCACAGCCGGCTTGTTTACTTGAGTGGTTCAAGAGTTCGTCACCGCGGCGTTGAGAGCCGGCGTGGCCCGAAACCACTGCGACACAAAATGACATGGCCGTCTTATCTAATGGCCGGATCAACTTTGCGATAAGAAGCACCAAAATCACACTCAATGAGGACGAGATGTTTTTCTACACGAAGGCATTGAAGTCTAGCTTGAGGCATTTATCACTTGATCGGGATCGGTGATTAAATGGTTGCGATGTTGGCAACTCCGAAAATTTGTCCGATGAGACATCTTGAAGATGAATATAACTCGCGATACCGAGAGGATATCGTAGCTTGCAGACTGTGTGCTTCAAGAGCACACTAAAAGCTACCGACTGGTACCGCACTGAAGGGGGTGGCACTGAGGAATCCACTAGTTTTGGATGAAAATAGTGGGAGCGGCTGCGGAGCGAACCGCACGCCACAGTGGCTCGAACAAGACTCCAGGGGTATTTATAGAAAAGTTTTTGTTATGAAGTATATATTTACTTTTCTTTCAAAAAACCAACGAAGCAAACATGTTAAGTAACATACGAAAGTAAGGGTTTGGGATCAATTGTTTTAATCCAACATAGCAGGCTGATAAGACATCAAGATGCAAAATATTTCATGGTTGAGATGGGGCTATGTCTTGTCTCTTGAAGCTGACATAGTTTCAATTATTGGGCTGCAGAAACAAAATAATTGATTTAAGCGAAAAGTTGATGTGCTTGGGTCGACTTAATCCTGTCAATTTTTTGGACTTGAAGACCTTATAATTTATAAGTAGGATCTAATCAATCATGACCATCATTTTCATGTATCATAATTTGAAAAAATATCTTGCGCTCAAAGATGGATGGGTTGACAATACTTTCACAGGCTACATCGCTGCACTAAGGTAGAGCCCTGTGAGAGACTATGTGAATCATAACACAGGAACTGAGGTCATTGTAAGTCAGAATAATGAAGCCCCAACTGTCAAGACTACATGCCAAAAGTCATCTCTGAATTCCCAAGACTACATAAAAAACGAATGTCTAGATTCTGCCTTTGAACAGTCTTTACTTTAATTGATCTAAACCTGTGTCTCACCAAAAAGGAAGTTTAGACTTGCACATGGTATTCCTTTCACTCAATAGCACAAGTACCATTGGTTTGCAGCAAAGCATTTGGCTCATAAATAAACCATCCGTTTAATTGGATTTTACTTGGATAATCTTAGTAAAAACTGATTAAATTCTTTTTGCATGTATTCTATTCTTGATTTATTCCAATGATGAAACTGCAGAAATGCGTATCTCCGTTTGCCGCTTTGCAGACTTTCTGTCATACTTCATTTTCTACATCAAAAACTATAGGATGTCATTTCTTGACAAATTCTCTAATTTTTCTTCTGTATGTGAAGAATATTCTACGAAAATTTCAAACCATTATTTTAATTTGGTTTATTTTCAAAAAAAGAAACAAGAGCGAAGATTTTGGAACACCGTAACCAAGATACAAATATTTGCAGTTTCGCTGTTCTTTCTTTGTACTATTCTTCTAAATAGTTCTTGATGTATTTTTAATCCCAAGTGCAACCTTTCTTTTAAGCAACATACAAATAAATCTTCATTATTTTATTATAATGTATAAGTTTACACTAAAACTTACAAAAGGAAGGAGTGATTCTTTAAAGCAGCAGCAAATTCTTTATCTGGTGGAAAACTGCCAGCAATGCCATCCCAAGACGGAACACGACTAGATATAAAATCACACATTTTTTCCTCCATCTTACTCAAATCTTTACCTGGATTTATCACATAGTAGCCATCTTCCGGTTTTTCAATGATACTGGAACAAGAAAAAGTATAATTGAATCAAATTGCGAGAATTAGAAAGATGTATGATGAAAAGGAAAAACTAGCAATCCTTTGAAGGTTATTGTTAAGCGATATTAATGGATAGTCTAGTCAGATGAAGAAGCAATATAAACTAAAATTACAATGTTAATAGCGAAAATATGGGGGAAAATTCCTTGAATTTTTGAGGATCAATTAACAAATTTTCTGAACCATGTCAACCAAAAAACCCTGGAGGATTAAAAAAAGCAAAAAACTCTGCTATAAATGGCAGTAGCACCCATTTTTCAAAATTGATTTTCTGAAAGGACAGGGTGAACTAAGTTTCCAGGAACTCTTCCAGATTTTCTTTGACCCTAAACAGATAAAGAGACCTTGCTTTGAAAACGTCAAACATGAGACCCGTTAGAAACAAGAATTTTGTAGGACTCCGATGACGTAGCCAGGCAAGGGAAGCAGTGTTTGCTGATTATCTGGACTCAGCTCAAAGCATTGCCTTGTTACATCAACTCAATTGTCAGCTTATGATTGATAGGATTTTGATTAGCTTTATCTCTGCTCAGAAACTTTTCAAAATAGAGAATGAAGGTGAAAATTCCATTAATTTTTCATCTTTGATTAAACTTGATAACTTTCCCATTAATTTTTTATGCATCAAAAAATCCTGGACTTTTTCAGGTTCTTATTTATGTAGCTTGCAGCCGTAGTATTTTGATACTTACGAAAGCATGCAAGAAAAAAAAACCAATATACTTACAAGCATCCATCTTTCATTGGAAGTTGCTGTTTGAACCTATTATACATTGCATGGGCGAAGTGAACAGAAAATATTCGGCTGACAGGATGTCTTCTTAGCACTGGAATCATTTCCCAAGGTACTTTATCTAAAATCTTGAGAAACAAACAGATTATTCAAAATTAGCCGTGACTGAAGATCGGATTTAATTATCAACTGACTTGAATGGCAAACATCACCAAGAGCTAAGCTTTTTGAGACACGTTAGATACCCAAGGAATGCAAAAAGTTCTTGGCCTACCGTATTTTTCCGAATAATTTGCCGTTTGCGATGAACATACAAATGTAGCCTCAATTTTACAGAACACATGCAATTTTTAATAATTAAACCTATCTTCCCACTTTTTTAATCCAGTTTTATGGGCCTTCTCAAGTTCACAGGCAACGGACTGCGCCACACCAATTACGAGGTCTAAAAGTTTCTGCACTTCTGGGATACCCACTTCTGACTTGTCTCTGTCAGAAATCATTATCAGTATCAAATATTTAAATTTAGAAAGCACAGAAGATCACTTGACATCCACAAAAGGCAATAGAGGCTGAAGGATTTGCAAAAATGATAATGTATTTTTCATTTCTGGAAATTTGGTTTAAAAGCACTTCTGCGCCATTTAAAGCGTTCATATTGGGAAATATTTTGTATAAAGTCTATTTAAAACTAGTATTTTTAGAAAATGAAAAATCTGGCCAGATCCAAGCAGGACTGGATAGGCTTTGAAAAGTAGTCCTCTTAGGTGGATAAATCTTATCTCGATTCCATCGAAAGACTCCATGCAATTCCTTACCCAGTGTCTTTAAAAATTAGTAAACAGTTGACAACTTCAATATTAAATAAGTTTGAGATGTTGACCATCTTCTCATTGTTTTGAAACATTTTTTAAAAAAAAAATATGATAGGCATGAAGACATCGGTGACTGACTGTCATTAAAAAACAGCTGCTGTACGCTACTAAGGACTTTCTATAAAGATATAATTTTACTGAAGACTCTTAAGAGTAGACCTAGATACTCTTCTCTAAAGATACATTTTCACATGCAGCCCGCTACCTTAGAAAATTCATGTTTCCCACATGGAAAAAAAGACAAAGGAAGAATATAGCTATAAGACTGGTCTCCTACGTTGTTCGGAAGCCGTTAGTCCACCACAAGAGCCCTTCAACAAGCTGAAAAATCACCTAGCTAAAGGCACCTCCTTGGTGGCAGGCAGCCTGTCGACTATTCGATCCGTTAAAGGCCTCTTGCTGCATGACGGCAGCTTCCATTTGACTTCGTTAACCGATTACATAGCTTCATTCTCTTCTAGTCTTGTCTTGCCAACCAGACAAACACGAAATTTCTATAAAAGCGACCTACTCGTATCTCACAAACACAAAAAAGATTTAAGTAAAAACAAACTATTTTCTTTACTCACCTCATCTAAAATTAATAACACAGGATAACGCTTCGCTACAGCTAAGTTTAAATTTGATTCTTTGAACTCTTTGATAGCTTCAATCATTGCACAGCGAGTATCTTCATCATGAATGCAATCGGAAACAGCTGCTTCTATTTCTCCTAAATCTAGATGACCCGAGCCATCCATAATTTGATATAAAAGGGTGACACTATTCTCTGGCAATTTTGATTTACTGAAACAAAAAATTGTACAGACATTAACGAGAAAACTTAATTTTGGAGGAAACAAAAATATTCAGCTAAATTTTCCGATAGCGAAAAATGAATACTGAGATTTTTTTTCATGTGCCTATAGAAAAGTTAATGCATTCCATTAAATTTAATTTTGTATCTAAAGGACAACGCACGAAGTACTAACAAATTTGGCATCAGCTAAATTTCAAGATTTTTTGATACGATCTTCCTTACAATCTCCTGGGTAAGATGAGCTTTTAAATTTGGACTTCCTATTTGACTAACTCTAGAACAACAGGTGTGAAGGATGTGTTTTCCGAAAATTTTTAAGGCAGTATGACGGAGAAAATGCACGACAAGGTTCGAGCTTCTCTTTCTTTGTCTCGTACAAGCTGGGGAGGATCAGACAGCGCATCAACTCAGTTAAAAACGAAAGGCTCAATACTTTCGACTCAACAATGATGCATTTCTTCATTTGATAAAAAGTGTTAAAGTGCCAAAAAATGCAATTTTTAAATCAAAATTACCTTGATGGGAATATTTTTTTTTGTTAATAGGTAAACATTTATAGGTCTGGTGATAGTATCAGAACATCATCTACTTGAATTTTACACTGAATATTTTAATTCTTAAGTTTTATAATATCCTCACAGAGTAAAGTATTTAAACACACCAAAATTGGTTATTTTGAAAACACTACCCTTAAGAGATGTATTTGTCAACACATATAACACAATAATGATGAATGTTACCTTAGAACTTTATCAACTGTTTTCCGTATATCTTTTTTCAGATCACTAGCGCAAAGTTGTCCCAGCAACATGCATCTCCATTGTTGAAGCCATTCCAAATTAATTTCATCTACCAAAACCTGTGGAGCAGAAAAAAACCCAATGAGAGAGATGCAGGTAAACTAGTAAAACATTAATTTTGAAAATGGAGATGTTGTATGTGTGAGAAATTTGCGATTCGACTATTGATTCTTACGTAAAAGTTCACGAGAAACACGATGGTGCCACTGGTTTTCTCTGAAATCAACTCCCAAGCTCAAAAAAAGCTCACAAGTTGAGACCAAAATGGAGGGAATATCCCCCGCTACCGTGAGAGTCCACCTCTACATCAAGACAAACTCTCCAGGCAAAGATAGGGAGCAAATATGTTAGCAGGGTTGCCCTGTTTTCAGTTTTAGAGTCCCCAAATAAAGTGGCAGCCCTGTTAATGTTTATGGGGACTCTAAAACTGAAAACAGGGCAACCCTGCTAATGTATTTGCTCCCTATCTTTGCCTGGAGAGTTTGTCTTGATGTAGAGGTGGACTCTCAGGATAGCGTGGGATATCCCCTCCATTTTGGCCTCAACTTAAGAGCTTTTTTTGAGCTTGGGAGTTGATTTCAGAGAAAACCAGTGGCACCATCATGTTTCTTGCAAACTTTTACATCTGAATCAATAGTCGAACCGCAAATTCCTCACACATGCAACATCTCCATTAAGGGTTTTTTTTTTTGTTAGCATGGTGAGGCAAAAGGAAATAAATGATTTTTGAGTGCGACTAAGAGTACTATCAGACAAGTGAAAAATTTTATTACAGAGATTTGAATGTTTTCAACAGTTTGTACTCATTCTACCTTAGTTGTGAAGATCATCTCAGAAGTAATAGTAGTATTAATAGTAGTGTGACCAATGAGGCACCTTCATGGAGTTCAGACGATATCAGGATAGCTGTTATGCACCCAAAGCTGGACCGTTCTCCTTAACTTGTAAAAATGACACATACCATATTCCTACAAGGCTCAGTGGCCATCTGATAAGCCAACATTAAGTTGTATCGACAACTTTGGCAGACGCTACAGAACACAGAATTTTCATTTAAGTTCATTTTCGAAAAACTACTATCTATAATCAAAATTACATACCTTTAAAGCTTCACCATACTCCTCACGGGTCGATTTGGACGGAGGCTGAAGTTTGGAAAAGATTCTCGTGTTAGGGATGCAAGCTTCACGTAACATTTTTGAGGGAGTGACTTTCTTTGATGACACGGGAGTGACAGCTTTTTCGATGATTTCAAAAATAGAGGATAATTTTGCAGCTGTGATGGATCCTTTTGGTAGAGTTACACAGCAAGGCTTCCTAAATTTTAAAAAAATAATTGTAAAAAATATTTCATTGTTGGGCAAAATAATTATTTAGTAAAAATAGTTTGAAATTAACAATTTTACAGAGATAAGAGTAGTTGTTCCTCTAGTGAATTTGCTGAAAAATTGCGATGTATGCTTTAGCAAAGTCTAAAATTTTGGATTCACTAAGTGAATAATTAGCGAGAGAATTGAGGAATTCATACATGTTAGAAATTCTCACTTCATAAAATGCACTGTAGCAAAGACATAATTTGGTACAGAAACGTCACCTCAAAGTGAGTTGGAAGATTGACCAATTGCAGTTGATCATTCCAGAGTTAATACAACTTGATCTATTTTCTTTTTGGTCAATCCTACATCCTGAGTGAAAAGGACGTCATCATATATATAAGCTCCAAGACCTCCTAATTTTGCGTAACTGGTGACGCTTAGTTCCAGCGTTCTACCGGGCCGATTTTAATGATTTTTGCGGCTATCGACGGGCAATTGTCTCTAGATAAGCCAACTCTTTTCAGATTTTCAAAATATGGCCCAGGTTTTTTTATAACAAGTGGTAAAGTTGCGAATTCTCCCATTTAAACAATGTAAATTTATACTTTTTGTCATAGTTCGTTTGAGCGTTCTACCGGGCCGATTTCTATGATTTTTGCGTAAATCGACAAGTAATAGGCCCTAGATGAGCCCGCTCTAATCAGATTTTGGAAATGGGACCCAGGTTTTTTTAAAATCAAGTTATAAAATTGAGTGAATTTACGGAATGCTCCGGGACTGCTACAGCTATGCGCGGGAGGATGCGCAGTGGTCGAGGAGGTTGCGCAGAAGCTGGATAGCCTGCGCATCAGCTCTATACTTATCTACACAAGATTCACGCCGATTATCATCAAACGAGTGGTGGCCGAGTCGTCTAAGACGTCGGATGCGTCCACTTAGATCATGATGTGGGTTCGATCCCCGACTCCTGGCTATATTAATTATTACCTGATTACCTATCATTGTTCGTTGTTTTACTGCAATATTTCATCAAGCAGTCATTCCAAAACGCGTCCTTTTGACTTAAAAAAAAAAAAATTTCTTTATTCATTAAAACCAAAAATTATTTCATTCTGAAAGTAAAGTATTCCTCATATCGTAATTTTTTAGGGGAAAAATAAAACTAACACTGATAGAAGATAAAAATAGGGCCGCATAGCGGCCAGAGGGCTACGCCCCCTAGTGTTAAACTGTTGCTTCCTTAAAAAAGCTTCAAGTAACAAAATAAAAAAACGATAAAGAACAATAGTTCAATGAAAAGAATACCTTGCGTTCCGGCCACAGGAAAACCTTGTGATGTGGAAAACAGAATTTGAGCTCGGAGTTCCAGCTTCTCTGGGGGTGCAACGTGTTTTGGAGGAAAAGCCTTGCGTCAATTGGACCAATGTCCATTCTAGAATATCAAATTACATAGTTACAGAAAAGTGTTCCTCATGAAAAATTTCCATTTGTTTTAAAAAATAGTTGCAACCGATAAATTGTTACATTCAAATAACAGAAATCAAAAATCTACAAAGTATTTCTGATGGAGGTTGACTTTTTTGACAATTAAGTGTCATATTACTGACAGAAGCGTCTTTCAATCAACAGTCAATATATGTACATACAAATTTTGGTTTGGAGCCAATACAGCTGTTCCTGATTTTATGGTACTATTTATTCATGTCATAACCTCAAGCAATGTGTTTTCTGTTTCTGATACAAAAAATCTTGAATTTTTCTTAACGTCTCCATAGATTTGCATTAGAACTCACATCAAATTAGTTGGCAACTGGTTGAACTCTACAAAAAGAGGAATACTCCAACTGTCCAATTGCGATCTTAGATCAGGATTGTTTCAGAATTTAGAGAATGAAATCCCCTAGCATCTCCCTCATTTCCCTCACAAATTTTGGAGGAAAATGCCTGACATTAGACCATATATGAGTTGGTAAAAAATCGTCACCTCCAAACCGGGACACACAATTTTTTTTGTTTAAAACGTTAAAAATATTCTAGAAAGCAATTAAAGGAGATTTAACATTTTTTTCCTGATATTTCCTGGTTTTCTTAAGCTTTCTAAAATTCTCTGACATTCTTAATTTTCTCAGTCTGCAGCGACTCTGCTAGTTTGACTAAAACACACAACTCCAGCTGTGGGCAGATGTGTCAGTTAATCAACTGCATACAGGCAGTCGGGGATAAAAGACTTATCTGACAAAGTTTACGGCAGTAAGTTAATGAATCGTCAGAGGCTGAATGATGCAGAGCATTCAAAAATATCAACAAAGAAAGGTGTCAGTTGATGTTTTGGTAATACAATCATACTTGGAAAAACAGAAAAACCTAAAAACAGGGCGGTAAGACATTGGTGTAGGGAAATATTTGAAATTGGTATTCTGACATTCTCTTTTCAGGATACCATGGGAGGCTCCATGGGAGGAACTTTGTAAGTGAGCACACTCTACACTTATGCACACAGCGCAAAACCACTTATTTCCGTCTGCAACTTTGCAGACTTCTTGTTACACCACATTTTTTTTTTTTTAGAAAAGTATTCAGTGTAATTTCTTAGGAACGTTCTTGATTTTTCTTCTCCGTCAGCAGAAAAAGGGGGAGTAGGGGCAATATTAAATTACTGTACAACCATACTTTATGAAGCAGGGAAGGGTGTGATAGAAAGGTTGCAAGTGGGGCAAAACAATGCAATGAGATATATTTTAAAACGGGGTAGAGAAGAAAATATTGAAGGAATGTTGAATGAGTTGGAGTGGTAGTGTATAGAGTTGTTCATTAAATACAGGGCCTTTGTATTTATTTACAAAATTAGGAAATGTTATGTAAAAGGTGTGGATGAGGACTTGAAAAAGCTAATGTGGGGGGATAATGCAAAAGGGACTAGGTATGGTGGTAAGGTCTGGGCATACCATGAAAAGGGTAATGTGGATAAAATGATTTTCTATAAAGGGGTAAGGGAATATAACAAATTCAAGTGCTACAAGATGGAGGAATTGGGACTGGATGCATTTAAAAGGAACTTATTGTTTAAATTGAGGGTATACCTAAACAATAACTGGGGTGAGGGAAGATTGATGAGGGAAGTAGACAGGGAGGGTATAAGATAGGTGAATGTACGGTATGCAAATTTGGAACTGGATTGGCCTTACAGGCTATTTGAAAAAAAAAAAAAGAAAAAAAAAGGAATATTCTGTATAAATTTCAAGTATAAAGTTGGCTCGTTTCTCTTCATAAAAATAAAGTACAGGACCAGAAACTTTGAAACATCGCAATGGAGATATGTAAATTGGCACTCTGGCCATTCTTAACTGGGTTTCTACCACAAATATCTCCCTATTTATCCAAAAACAAAGGCAGTAATCATTACTTAGAGTAAAAATAAACAATTCTGGAGATTAAAGGATGTCAATTAGCGTTAAAAAATAGAAAAATAATACTGGGAAAACAAGAGGATACTTTCCATAGAAAAGAACAATCTATAAAAATTTGATCCAAAAAATAAAAAAGATGTGAGCTTACATACCTTCTGGTAATTCTTGCAAACGCTCCATGAGGCCTTTATAGTTACTCGATGCATATTTACTACTAAAGTTTATGAGATCAGGATCAAATGAAATATGAGGAAGACTAAGAAATTCTGCTTGCATTCTGAAACAATCATTGTTATCCGTTTTTTACACTGAAAATTACACTTTCAATAAGATAAAGAGATAACACTGAAATATAAAAATTTAAGTTATAGACTCTCAAATAGGGTACTAAATTAAGCACCACGATACCTGAATATTGTTATAATTTGATAATTCCGACAAATTTTAAAAAATGAAAACGATATTTCTAGAACGCCAAGTATAGTTTTCAGGCTGCATGTCTTTAGATGTGTTGAACTGTGGTGCTGCATTTGGGACAACTATTAGGTGTCTCTAAACACATTCCTCTTTCCTCTATTCATTTCTACTGTGACAGCAGTTTTCTTAAAACTTTGTGCTGTGATTGGACACGTTTCGTGAGCAATGTCTCTCGTCTCGATGAAAACTGTAAAAACATATAATTAAAAAAGATACTCACTCATTAACTTGGCTGATACGAGATACAATTTTGCTGCGAAATCCAATTGCATGACTTTCTGTGAGATGGTGAATACCCATATCGATGTCACCTTTGTCGAAACATTCTAGCGCTGCAAGCTTCCGCAGATCTGAGAAAACAAGAAACAAATTCCTGCTATAGTACATTCAAATGCTAGATGAATTATGAAACTGTGTGGTTGGGCTACTTCTGCAAGATATTATAATGAGTACATGATAAAGGTGGCTCCTATTTAATGTGAAAACATGTTTTGAAAACTGAAGAGGTTTCTCGTGCGGCTGCTAAATGTAGGTGAAAACCAGTTTTGAAGTAACTTGATTCCCTGTACTGCTGTGCTTCAAATGTAACAGTCCATAGAAACGTTAACAAGCGAGAGACAGAATATGATGGTCCTAGAGAGTGAATCAAAAGATAATTTTAAGCTGTGCAGTGAAGCACTACCTCTTGGACTTGCGACTTTTCTTAGGACATAATTGATCTGCTTAAGCTTCTTGAACCTTTTCAGAGGAGCTTAATGGACATCCAAACATTCTTGAAAAAGATAATTGGACGTATTTCTGTCAAATGGAACTAAGCGCCAATTTGAGTTCCTTTTCAGGAATTTAGAATGCTGGATAGCGCGTTCTGTCAAACGGACCTAAGCGCCATGGAAAAGCATTGCGAGTATAGGACAGAATGAGCCCGACGCCCGGTTTCGCCGCCAATCCAAGCCCCCCTCTACCTTCCTCACCCTATGGTGCTTAGTTCCGTTTGACAGAAATACGTCCAATTGATGGTTATGAGAAGTAGGTAAAACAAAGAACTTCTTTGCAGAGTAATCACACAATCAGAGGGGCTAATTAAGTGACGGCAAGTCACAACACAATACACGACGTTGTGATCGAACTATCAATAGCACGATAAAAGACTAAAAGATGAAATAAAAATGAGGGGACACAAAAATTTGACTTTAAAGAGAAAAGTGAGAGGGAAAAAGATGGGAAGAGGGAGAAAGAAAAGGATGCGAGTTGCGTCTAACAATGCAGAATAGAACTTTCATCAGTGATTAACCTGAAGTTTAGTTGTTTTAGTCTTCGACGGAAAAGACTTAAGTCCTCAGGTAAAAGAGATTAAGGTGTTTAGATTTACACCAATAAATAGAGGTAAAACCCTAGATTCTGAGTATTGCATTATCACTTATCAGCAGTCCATTAAAGGTTTCCTGGGAGCATCCATGCTGTGCTTCAGAAAATGCTTCAGAGGTAGATTAATGCAAGAAAAGGCATAACTTTCAAAAATTAATTATATCATGTATCCACTTGAAAGGTAAATATGTATGTAGTATAGAAGTTGAGCTTTACGTGGCTTACTTTTATTGACTGGAGCGCAGCAGAATTTTGCATTCGGCAAGACGTTTTTGTCAATGTCCTCCAGCGTTTTCTTCATATTTCATTACACAGATGAGTGTTTTCAGAGAAAATTGAGATATAGTAACGTCATTAGAATAAAATAATAATATTGTAATATGGCACAAATAAAGTAAAATAAGATGACTTTTACACTTCACTGATGTATCTGAGGAGACAGGACGGAGCAGCGGAGTGTTTGTTTATATATAGTTTTTATAGTTTATAGTTTTTACTTTTTGCCCTGTAACGGTGCTTTGGCCTTACATCTCAAAGCCCGCGAAAATCCATGAACGGTCGCTCATCGGCAGGGACCAGTTCTATAGGACCCTGGACTCCCGTAAGAGTCAATGTAAAAATTCGTGAGCAGGTACTAGTGCTGCATTCTCGCGTAGGATCCTCGCAACTCACTGCTGTTATCAGTTGTTGGACTTCATTAAAATCCGTAGGATCGCGTATAACTGCAAAAAATCGAATTTTTCACCGTATTACTTTATGCGGCGGGCCCATCCTTGTCGAAAGGGGTCGAAAAACGCCAAAAATATACTTATTTTTCAAGAATTCAACCGCCTTATGTGTTATTTTTCAATCTCCGGCTTAACCTCACTTTTGGAGCGGGCGATGGATGAGTCGAGGTTCGGGGGGGAGGATCCTCTGAGTTGACTAGGATCCTACGCGAGAATGCGCTGCAATCACCCGCTCACAACAGAACGGCGTCCTATAGAACTCGTCCCTGTCATCGGTGGCAACACCTCAACATCCACCAGAGCGATTTGCGGGAAATTTGAATTGCCGGCTTACATTTAAATGATGAAATCCTAGTAAACTTCAAAATATTGTGCCAAACTTCATTGTTTTTTGTTATTTGCTAAAATTATGAAAAATTAAAATTTTGTTCTTAGTTTGTTTAGGTGTGTGTCTCCTTTTATTGAATTGTCGTTTTTGCCTCGTGGTTTTAATTAGCCTTGAGATCTCGGAGCTGCAGAGTCATTCTGTTCAAAGGAAAATAAACATTCTACTTATCAAAACTTGGTAGATTTTTCGATGTGACAACAAGTATTCTTGTTGAAAAATTACCAAGTGGACCAGTCTACCAAGTTTCTTTGGGAATTAATTGTAATAACGAGAATATTCCTCAGAAGTGATGAGAAAGAATATTTGCTTGGAAAAGTGAAAAAAATGATGCAACAAATTCTTCTAAATTCTGCAACACTGAAATCCCAAAATATAGAACCTATTTCAATTGATACACTGCAAACTCATTAGAAAAACTCTTAAATTACATTTAGTGAGTCAACTAGACTCGTGAAAGAATCATGTTAAACAGTTGAATTCTAAAGATCAGAAGAATAAAGCCCCTCAGTAACTCTGCAGACATTATCCAGGGCAAAAGTTCAAATATACCATGGTTTCTACCAACGAAGATTCTATGTACAATGCTGAAAAAGTGAAAACCTCAGATGAGAGAGACCAGGAGGGAGGTGCATTATCTCGTTGGATGGTGTTGACAGCCGATCTCTGATTGGTGCCATTACGATGTTGATGGAGGACATCAAAATTAGGCATTTTGACTGATTTTCTCCAAATTTTGCTACCTCATAAGTTTCACCCTTAAATATATGATTCTATGCTCAAAGTGACTGATCCAATTTAAATGGATACATTGGGTATTCTTAGTAGCAGCAGGTCACGGTTCATCAACCCTTTCACCAAAAATATTTCACTTACTTAAGTATATTTTGATGATGAATCAATTGAATTATCAAAGTAATACATTTTCTTGGAAGTTGCAAGGAACTAATGAGACTTCAACTCACTTCATTAAATAACTTTATCGGTCATATTTATCAAATTAGTGTAGAACCTTTTTCTACCAATTTTTCAAAAATCCGTAAGAAAAAGGTTTGCGGTAATTCGGAATCGGTAATTTTTTTTGAAAAATCGGTAAGAAAAAAGTTCAACACTATTTGGAGATTCCAACCGTTTTGCTGAGGAAAATATTTTTTGACCACACGTCCGCCTCCTGTGGTGTTGTCGATGTAGCATTGGCTCTAAGATCAGGGAGTCCCAGGTTTAATTCCCTGCAAGACGAACCGAATTTGATGGTCTCACATAACAGTTGTCTGGGCTGGCTATGTGAAGTAGGGCTGAGGTATGATGGAGCTCTATACGTAAGATTGCCATCTGGGAGAATTTGGGGGAAAAAATAGGAAACCTACAGGTGTCACAGTTGTCAAAATGATTCCAGACAGTATCGTAATGTTACTTTTCTTGAAATTGGGCCTGGCAATTAACTGACTTCAAAAAGTCTAAAATACAGAACTTTTATCATCTGAATGCTTTAAAGCTACTGCGTAACAAACTTGAAAAACCAGAATTGCCACAACTATAAACTACTGATACTGATCAAGTACCAACTAAAATCAATTTTTACAATCTTGGATTCAAAAACTTTGATATTACTTTAACATGGGTTTGATGGATTCTATTTAACTTCTAGCCTAATTTCAGGACTGGTTTTGACAAAATTAGGGATGTGAACTTAAAAGGAGTCTTGTGACATGATGATAGAACTGGTTGATTTACTTTGATTAACAATTATACAGTACAATGGAGGCATGTTCAAAGTGCTTACAGAAACTTGCACGAGATGAGTTAGCCATTGGTTGCACTCCATTTACAAGCAACTGCGCTATCGCCATCCAACAGTAATCTAGAATTGACTGTCAGTACTGTCACCGTGCGCAGATACAAAAAGTAGTCTACCGCGCATAATAAAACATTTCCGACTGCAAACTTATCTTATGCAAGTTCCCCTAAATAATTGAATGAATTTAGGCTTCTTTAAACCAGCTAACTAGATTTTCAAGCTCTTTATAATAAAAAAGAACTTTCTTCACCACAAAAATAATATATAATTTAAAAGCTTACAGAAGTCGACTCTTAGACCATACCTTCTACGCAATAGAGACCTTTCAAAAACCTGAGAACAAATTCAATAAGGATAAAGAGAAAAGCAGAGAAGTTTTAGTCAAAACAGTTAGTCATGAAGGCAAGGCCAAAGATGGATTTTTAGGTCCTGTAATTGCTCAACATTTACAAGACACAAGCTCTTCATGACCACCTTCCATGGCAGATAATCCAATTAAAGCTTTGATGGTGCAGCATAACTTCTCTCAAGAATAGAAAGTCATGTATGAGAAGTTCATTTCAATTCATTACCTTTATTTGATAATATTTATCACAGAAAATATAAACAAGCAAACAAAAAAGTAAACAGTAAAATGATTACTTTGATTATTACTGGAGCAGTTCCCATCCAATTCTGACATAGAAAAAAACCCAGTGCTATTAAAACGTACCGAGAAAACCCAGATTGCAAAAAAATAAATACAAAGTTTCTGTCATTGCAGTTGTCAGTGTCAACAGCAATCGATCATAATGTCCACATAAGAACACAGACATAGTAATCTATTTGTTTTTAATACTTCTAATTTTGTATGTTTTTGTAACTCATCGTCTGGTAAAACAATTATGGGTACACACAACAAACCATAATTACTCTATTTAGGAAACTTGGATTGTTCTTAAATATATCACACATCAGCTTTCAATTGAAGATCTGATAGCTTAACTTTCTCCCCCGGCTTGAATGCTGGCATTCCCAAGTAAGGACAGCTTGCACAACGGAAAGCATCACCAAGGTAACACTGAAATAAAAGAGGAAAACATAATGAGACCGAGTCTTGTAAATAAAAACTCAAAAGGAAAAAAAGTCTTAAGCTGCGAAGTTGAAAGCCTTGCCTCATTTCGATTATTAAGAAGTGATAGCGTCAGACAAAAGTGCATTAAGGTGGGGACTCGAATTTTTCAGCAAAGTGGAAAAACAAATTTGGTGTCAAGTCTATCGATTATCAGTTTTTAGTGATAAATGCTTTCTAATGCATTGAAGAACATCAGGTTAAAATTTAAAATCATAGTTTGCATTGATAAGGATGTTCTTAAGTTTGATAAGCATAATTCCTTAGAGTGGCAACAGTCCCTACAAACTTTAACAACAGTTTTATTGGAAGGGTCAGTGGTGCCTATTTTTTTATTCATTTTCTTTAAGGACTAAAAAAGTTGAGTTTCCAGTAATTCAATAAGATTTTCTTTACATCAAAAAACGAGGTCTAAGCCGCCAACATCTGAACTCACTTTTTACATAAATTTGTGGCCGTCTATTGTGAAAAAGATTTTAGCAGGGACTCCGTATTCTCGGACCGGCTGAGGCCCGGCCGAAAACATGGCCTAGTTACATCATGACAACAGTCTACCTCTGGTTAGTTAGAGTTTGATCAGCTTCATCTCATCTTGAAGTGGTTTCTAAAACTTCATGATGGACTTCTTACGTTTTTTTAAGCTGCGACTTTGCCCTAAGTTTTTCATTACAAGCGTCATTAATTATTTCAATAATTTACTTACTTATTTGGAAAAGCCTTTTCCCGAAAATATGTCAATAAGTCAAGCCAAGAATCTACTTATTTACATTTATGATGTTTTAATTTAATTTTACTTTCCCTGGACCTAAATCCTTAAAAGAATATTTCACCAACTTACGTTTCCACAGGCTGAACTCTTAACCTCCTGTTTTGGTTCTTTTTCCGCTTTTTCATTCTCCAATTCTTCTGCTAGTCCGCAGGAACAATTTTTGCATGCTTTTCTTTTCCCAGTTGTGCCACAAACTAAAGAAACAAGAAATTTAGAATTAATCGACAAATTTAAAGCAACAGGTACAACAAAACATTTATGAGACTTGAATAAAAAAGTATGGGACAGTTGAAGTTTCTTGACAGAGATAAAGGAGAGTGAATAATAAGGCCAGAGGGTACTTGGACTTAAAATTTCTTGCGAACTGGCGATTTCGACTTTCGATCTAAGTGTCAATTAGTCTCACGGAAAAATGTGAGATTTCATGATGCCAAATTTTACAGAGACTTTTTTCAAGTCATGAGCCGAAAACAAAGAGGTCATCACTCTTGAAGATAGCTGAATTTTGCGAACCAAGAAGTTAGGTACTTTTTCTACCCCTGCACTTCAATTTCATCCTTTCCATGAATTGTAGGATTAAAGAAAACTTTTTTACACGCCAGTAGATTTTGTTAATTTATTCATGGGCATCTAGTACCAAAAAACTGTCATTTTTGGCTAAGAAGTAGACCCTCAACTTAACTAGGACGGGGACGGCGCTAATTTAAATAAATGAACACTGGAGATTTTTCCCTTGCGGTTAATTATCATCACAATTTCTATTACATCCTATGCAGGCCAGGTTTGAAATGCTTGACATTACCTTTCAAAGACTGAGGGTCTGGTTTTTTGAGATCCTCTTCATCGAGCAGTTTGTCCGAATCAATGACCTCAATCGAGTCATCAAGAGAGCTCTCCAGTTTCCATACAGCAGCAGCACTTTCGAATAATTTGTTGGCAAAAGGTAATTTAGCTGATGCTCCAACCTACATTGGCATTTGGAAGAAAAAAAAAAGGTTACACAAAAGATTAAAGTAATCAAGAAGAACCACACTACACACCATGAAAGCCCCTCCCACAACGCACTCAGGCGTTCTTCGACACCCAAATCCCACATGTGCCTACCTTCCTAGAGGTTATCGGGCAACTAACAATGAGAAATGAGGAGGGGTGATGTTTTGACTTATAGATTGATAAAATAATAAATACTAGAAGTCAGAGAGCTGTACGTAGGTACAATTTTCTAGAATTTTTAATGATTCCATTGATGGCTTGAAACAAATAATGCATACTCTTAATTGTAAATTTATGAACTGTTTCATTTTTCTAAAGGGAAACTGACTTGACATATTCTCTTGAAAATTTCTGTGAATTTCCTTCGTTCATTCAAAAATATTCACAGAAAATTTTTAAGAAGCATTTCGGAAGTTCCCTGTGAAAATAAAATAAAACATTATCAGAGATTTAAAAACTTTGCCATGAAGAAATGCATTTTCTGACTTTAGCCATCAATTTTATGAATAATTAATGATTCAGGAGACAAAATTACATTATTTTAAAGCGACAGAGACTTACCTCAAAATTTGGTTTCTGGCAAATGATTTCCATCACAGAGATATTTTTTTCTGTGTTGAAGGACTTCTTGATAGCTGAAATCTCTGCATCCTCTAGGTTAAGCGTTTTCGGTTCACTAATGTTGCTGAACCCGCTGATCAGTAATTTGCTTCGAAACTGTTCAGAGGTTAAGACTTTGCCATTTCCATCGGCAGTTTCGACCACAGGTTCTCGAAGAATAAGTCTCCCATTGGGTTTGATGATACGTAAAATTTCTGCTAAAACAAGGTCATCATGATTGAATGATGGCGGAGAGAGGATTCCTGAGAAAATTACATCAAAAGAAGAGGATCCATGCTGACCTGAAAAAAAATAGAACATGATATTTTATATGATAGTTACTTATATGACATTCCAATAAAAAGTACATAGGCGTATACGTCTTTTGTAAATTTTGGATGATTATGTTGGGACTTACTTAGATCTGTTAGTGTTGTGCTGGATCGTTCAAAGACCTTCATCTCCCCAGTGCTTGAACTTTGAACGGATTTAATCATGCGGTTCAACGGAAAAATAAGAAGGTAGTGTCCTGTTAGAGGGAGCATGAATTCTGCGTCAAGCGCAGGAGAAAGGGATTCAACTTGCTACTTTCAAAAGGGCACTGTGTGAAATGACACTGTATTGCGCAATACCTAGCGAACTGGAGAAAAGGAGCAACCCGGAAGGAGAGCAGAATGAAGATAGCATGAAAATGGTTTTAAATGATCCTCCACAAAGTGCTAGAATTCACAAGTTACACTGAGCAAACTTAAAGATATCCACTGAGTAAACTTGCCCCTTTTAAGTTCCGGAACATTGGTTGAAACTTTAGGAGACTGGATGAAGTTGAAAATCAAGCTGAGCTTTCACAGGGGCCAAGAGAGTGGACAATAGAGAAAATTTCTTACCTATGGCCAATCTCTGCAGATTTTCCACGCGCACATCGCCGGAAGAGCCACATTTTTCTTTGATTGCATCAACTGTGGAAGTCATGAGGGACTGTTCATCGGAAGAGTTCCACAACAAGAGGGCGACATTACCTTCTTGAACAAAATTTAAGTACGACATTTTGCAGTGACGAATTTAAAGGACACAAATTATGAATTTAAACCTTAGCACAGTACAAAAAGAACACGATTATTCAGCAGCACCTTGATTATAAACTTGAATTCTGGAACAAATTGGGAAAACAAATCTAATTTCTAACCTCGAAAAAACAATAACATCCTCTGAGCTTTTGAAGTTGTCGTAAAGCGCCACTGGAGCGCTGTGATCATTCGCCTTTTTGGCGGCATTTTTAAATTTGCGGACAAAATTGTGCAGCTGAAGAACTTTTGAAATGACAGTTTTGGCCTCGTTTCAACAAACCGCACTTTTACAATTAAATGAGTAATTAATACAAATTTTCTAACTGAAAAATTCGAATGGACCTTCAAAGTTGGAAAAAATATATTCATAAAATATAAGCGGGATATATGATGAAAAGTTCCAAAAGTGGACCCTATTAAAGAGCAATATATTCGAAAATTCGAGAGGAACTCATCCAGTATAAAGCTGCCGCTGCTGTGGCCAGATTTTGAAACAATTCAATTAAAACATCAGTAGCATTAGTAATAATTCAAATTATGGTTTCCTCTCATCTGCCAACTCTAAGTTCAGGTTGCGTACAATGATTGAATGACATCTATTAAAAAAATCCTCATTCTATTATGTAAGTGGCAAGCGTAGGTATTGTTAGTTTCAGGAATTTCCGTCCAATATTTTGGTCCTAGAGAATTTTAGCCCAATTAACTTCGTCCAGTACCGCTTAGTCCAGTAAGTTTGGTCCGATATTTTTCGGTCCAATCCATTAAATGGCCCTGCGTTTTAGGTCCAATCGTTTTTTTTTTGGACCTTCATATAGAGTTTTTTTTTTCGACCAAGAACATTGCACAATAGGTATTAGTGACAAAATAGACAAATATCAACATATGATTTTAACCGCAGTTTTTCAAGAGAGGATGCTATTGTGATTAGAGAGGAGGGAAGGGCCTTCTTTATCTTTGTCTAACCTATAAAGGTTAAAACTTCATACAAATTCAATCAATTTGTTACAAATTCAAGAAAATGAAGACTCTTGAGAACCAAGGTATTTTTCCCTTTTCTGGCATTTACCTTATAGCGTAGGTAATTTAAAGAAGGTAAAATAAAACCTGATCATTGGACACATAAGTATGGGTCAAAGTAATAAAGAGGACTAAAAAAGGTAGGACGAATTTTCTTTTGGACCAAACTAACTACTGGACAAAAATGTTCATAGTATTGTTTAAGTATTGTTCTTGAAACGACATCTGTCAAGCCCGAGGTAAAATGGATTGCATTAAGCAAAAAGGAACCAGCACGTTTATAGTGTTTTTAAAATTGTGCAACTTCTTCTTTCCTATTAAAAATATTCAATACATTTACAGTATTAAAATTTACACAATTATTTTCCTTTAAAATTAACAATTTTTTGCTGGGAAGCAAAAGATATTTGCTATTCTGAAAGACTTTTTAAATAACTATGAAGAATCAACATTTTTTCAACTTTGTAATAGTGCTAGTTCCTTTTTGCTAAATGCGATCCAAATAATTGTTGATACTGCATCAAAGTATTGCGTATGTTGCCTACTTACTAATTGGAGGGATTCCACTGATTGAAATTTAAGTATTGCCATAAAATTTGAATAAGTTTTTCACCATGGTTCCTGGAATGGTTTTTTTAGAGGCTTTCATGAAAGCCTAAAAAAAGCCTGCAGGATAATATTTTGCAAAAAGATCATGGAAACCATCACAGTATGACAAATTATAACTCTTCAATTGAAGCTTTCCCTAATCTCATTTTTTCTCAATCTGAAGTATTGGTAGTTGAAATTTACTGAGCTGCAATATTTTGAAAAGCAAGATTTTAGGAGGTGGATGAGGGGCATCAAAGCACAAGAAATTGCGACGGTTCAAATTAGAAATTTTATTTTTGAGTATAATTAAGAGTTGAATAATTATTACAGATGGTTTGGAAATGCACCAATGTCTTAGAAATTTTCAAGACGTTTGCCTTATCTACCTTATCAATCATAAAAACTGCAACATCTATCAATTAATCAATCATTAATTTAATCATCAATTTTAAAATAGGTTCCTCTGGGAAGATGAGCTAGTAATGCTAAATGAACAGATATAATGTCGTCTCCATAAGGTAAACAAATAACAAAGTCAAATGAAAGCTTCTGTGTATTTTTTTTTCTTTTTCTAAGTAAGGCTGAACAATCGTAGAATAACAGACAAAATGATAAATATCACATGGAATGCTGAAGTAAGTACCTAGCGTAATCATGAACTGAGAAAAATTCTAGTGAGTAATGAAACTTTACATAATGACTGGATTCAGGGAAATAATTCAACACAGAAAATCAAGAACAGGATGAAATAAGTGGTAAATAAACACAGCAGAATCTAATATCGTTCGGAAAAAAGAAGAGTTTAAATAATTTATGTACATACATACCTACATGGTTGAAAGTAGCTAATTGAAAAAATGATGTAGACTTCAGGAAATAAGATGCTGTAAACTTGCACGACTACTTTTGAAGTTTTATTTGGGGTTGAGCAACATTAAATTCAAATTAATGTGAATAAAAGATGAATCGGACTGAATTTCATTTAATACTTTTTTCCCCCCAACCTCAATGCTAATGCACAAAGTATCTCATCTCATTGCAGTGTATTATTAAAAAACTTTTGGTTTCCAGTTCTTAACAGTGGATATTTCTAACTATGACGAAAACTAAATAATTATAAATTAACGATGCCAGCTACTTCTCCGAAGTGTTTGCGGAAAGAACGGTTGAGCTTTCCAAAATTAGTTTCCTTGATCATTCCTTGCTATAATGAAAATGTGAGAAAAAGTAAATGTCATTGATAAAGACAGGCACTCAATTTGATGATAGCCCAAGTTCATTGTAACGGGAACAAAATATACATTTTTCAGATTTATCAACATTTATCCTATTAAAAAAACATCTGCTTAAAAGTTAGCACAAAAAATACCTTGACACTGAAACGTACTCAGCTAAAATGTTGGGGTGAGTTGCGTCCGATGCATTTTCTTTCGCGGCAAATGAACGATTCAAAAGAGGATTTCAGAGAGTAAGCGGTTCAGAGTTCAAAAATATCAATAAGAAGTCTCAAAGAAGAATTTATAATTAGCTGGTTAATAATTTAGATTGAAATTTAGATTAATACACAGTAGGAATTTTGCCAACGTCTCTATTCAGTTGAGTGTCTTTTACTATGCTATCTGTTAAGTATTTTCCATAAGTAGTTCAAAGTATAAAGTGAAGATTTATGATGATCTGAAAAAAAAAAATTCACTTCAATGAGAAACTATTCTGTAGGATCATTGAGATAACAGAGGAAACCACCAAGGGATTTCTTCATCGCACAGTTTCGTTTGATTTTTCAGACTTTCATCACATTCTAATAACTTGAGAAGAGTAAAATGACTAGAAATAACGAAACCAATTGCCCAATCAAAAAGTGAAGGACTTTAGGAAGTGCTATGTTTCAAAATTCTATGAGGAGAAAAAAATTTAAGAAAATTTAAAAGAAAATGCAGATTAGATTTAATGGTCATTAAGACGATATTTTTAAAATTTCTCATAAATCAGTGAAATTGAAAAGGTTGAAAAAAAACTAGGTTTGGTTTAATGGTTACTAAACCAATATTCCTGACACAAGCACAAATAGACTCAAATTTTGCACATTTTTGGTTACAAAACCTTTTTAACTAAAAAACAATAAAATAATAAACAATTAAGATCTAGTCAAGTACAGAGGAGGGTAAGTGAAGTAAGGAAACCTTAACCAGCCAGGGGACTCCACTGTCACGTAGTAACATTGTGGTTCCTCGTTGGTCAAAAGCCCCATACATACTACTAAAATAAATCAGCTGACTCAAAAGTGACAAAAAAATCCTGATTTCTGTTTGGTTTAAAGGTGCACTGTCTGACTAGTCGCAAAGAAGAAAATTAAGGGATGCTATAGTGACAAGACCATCGAACAAATGGGTGAGACAAAGGTCTTAACTTGCAGATGACGGTATAAATTTTGAAAATGTTACTTCTTATATAGTAAAAATGAGGCACGCAGCTCCCTGACATTAAACGGTGAAAATTGAACGATTCAAGAGAGCTCCTAGCATAAGAACTAACTTATCTGCCTGTTATCACATCTGTGCAATTCATACATCAGCCTTGAGGAATGAAACCCCTTTAAGAGGGGAGAAAATCGATATCCATATAAATATCACACTCCTATAAAAATATCCATTACCTGATCGTAAAGATGCCATTTATTTTAATATCATTCCATCAAAAAATTTTCAACTGTGTAGCTGTAAAAGAATATGCACGACAAGAAGAAACCAAATAAAGAGCCTCCCAAAATTTGGCCCCTTTTTAGGTATTCGATTCGACCATCGGACCAAGGTTTAAATGGAAGCTTATATTAACAGAAAACTCAGGAAAAAATTTCAAGATGAGTATAGGAACCGTTTTCGAGTTACGGGGGGCAAAGGGGTCACAATCCGGCCTAATTTTTTGCTGTTTCCTTGTAGAATTGATGTATCGGCGGGGTTCTTATCGTTGTTTACGCATGTGTAGCACATAGATTCCTACGTGTTTTTACACGTAGAATCGATTTTTAACGTTGCCGAATCGATATACTGATCGGTTAAATCGATTTTGAACGATTTATTAAGGAAAATCGATGATTTTTCAGGATCGAAATTGTTTATTTTCGATTCATGAATGAATAAATGCATCTGAAATGACTGAAGCACACGTAACCCTATGTATTTTGATACGTAGAATTGATTTTTAACATTGACGAATCGATTTATCTATCGTTTGTATCGAATTTTTGCGATTTTTTACGGAAAATCGATGACTTTTCGGAAGTAGAATCGGGTTTGCTCCATCCGAGATCGGAGATATGTACCCAACATGATTGGAGCACATCGACTCCTACGTATTTTTATACGTGAAATCGATCTATAACCTCGATAAGTCGATATATCGATCAATTGTATTGAATTTTTTCGATTTTTTGCGGAAAATCGATGGTTTATCGGAATTGAGATAGGTGTCGCTCCATCCAAGATTGGAGAAATGTACCCTATATGATTGGAGCACATCAATTCTTACGTATTTCTAAACGTAGAATCAATTTTAAACGTCGACGAGTCGATATATCCATCTAACATACACAACTCTTGCGATTTTTTACGGATATTCGATGGTTCTTTTGGACTGGCATTGGAAACATCTACCAGACATGACTGGATCACATCGATTCGTTTGTGATTATTCTCGCAATATCAATTTTTAAGAAGTCGACGAGTCGATACATTGACTCGTCATATTGATTTCTTGTGATTTTTATGGAAAATCGATTTTTTGAACAGGAATGAAATTGGTTACTAACGGTCCGAGGGTGGAGATATGCACCTGACACGGTCGGAGCACGCCGTTTCCACGTACTTTTACACGTAGAATCATTTTTAAGGTTGACGAGTCGGTTTGGCGATCTGACAAATCAATTTTTTGTGATTAGGGAAATCCGATGGTTCCTTGAAGTTGAAATAATTTTGATTTTAATCAAAATGGGAATGAAGGAATGCACCCGACACGAAATGATTCTACGTGTAAAAGTACGTGGAAACTGCGTGCTCCGACCGTGTCAGGTGCATATCTCCACCCTCAGACCGTTAGTAACCAATTTCATTCTTGTTCAACAAATCGATTTTCCATAAAAATCACAAGAAATCAATATGACCAGTCAATGTATCGACTAGTCGACTTCTTAAAAATTGATATTGCGAGAATAATCACAAACGAATCGATGTGCTCCAGTCATGTCTGGTAGATGTTTCCAATGCCAGTCCAAAAGAATCATCGAATATCCGTAAAAAATCGAAAAAATTCAATACAATTGATCGATATATCGACTTATCGAGGTTATAGATCGATTTCACGTATAAAAATACGTAGGAGTCGATGTGCTCCAATCATGTTGGGTACATATCTCCGATCTCGGATGGAGCAAACCCGATTCTACTTCCGAAAAGTCATCGATTTTCCGTAAAAAATCGCAAAAATTCGATACAAACGATAGATAAATCGATTCGTCAATGTTAAAAATCAATTCTACGTATCAAAATACATAGGGTTACGTGTGCTTCAGTCATTTCAGATGCATTTATTCATTCATGAATCGAAAATAAACAATTTCGATCCTGAAAAATCATCGATTTTCCTTAATAAATCGTTCAAAATCGATTTAACCGATCAGTATATCGATTCGGCAACGTTAAAAATCGATTCTACGTGTAAAAACACGTAGGAATCTATGTGCTACACATGCGTAAACAACGATAAGAACCCCGCCGATACATCAATTCTACAAGGAAACAGCAAAAAATTAGGCCGGATTGTGACCCCTTTGCCCCCCGTAACTCGAAAACGGTTCCTATACTCATCTTGAAATTTTTTCCTGAGTTTTCTGTTAATATAAGCTTCCATTTAAACCTTGGTCCGATGGTCGAATCGAATACCTAAAAAGGGGCCAAAATCAGCCTCTTTTTTGGGAGACTCTTTGGCTATGGGAAAGGGATGAAGTAGACTATATCACTGAAGGTGATCTAAAAATGTTTCCTATAATATGTTAGAAATGCGAAGACTAAAAACTGTACTATTTATTTATTTTCCTTTTAAGGAAAAAAAATTAAGGGTGGTAATAAAATGAATGATAATTCTGCACAATGATAGTTGCACTTGTCCTCTAGTAGTTGTCATAATACATACGTATGGATTCTTAACAGATGGATGAATGTACCTACTTAAAAGAGTTGTTCATTTGAACGTGGCTTAGCTAAGAATATGATAAAAGAAGAAAAAAAAATGAAAAAAAGAGAAAGGAAAAAAAAAACCCCATTCAAGACAAACCACTTGTTTGAAATACATACAAGCAAGAGCTAACAAAATTGAATACATTTTGTCCGGTTTTAATTGAATAAATCAATGGCGACAGTCTTCCAAATTAATGAGACAAATTCAAAACATTGAAAGTCAAATATTAAAGAACGATTCACAAACGAGAAAGTGAAAAAGATAGAACAGTGCTAATCGACTTTAAAATGATGTGTCTCCGTAGAAAGTATGCAAAACATTGTTCTACGAGAAATCCATAGTGGTTCGATGTATCTTATGTCCAGTCCATAAGTAATTTTTTGAGAATTAAAAAAAATGATCTTTTCTCTACTTTATTCCTAGTCTAAATAAAAATCTCAATTTCTATGAATATTTGAGCATTGACGAGCTAATTAATTTTATTTCCTCTTACTCAACACTCAACTTTAAAAATCTCTCTTTTAAAATAGACTTTTTCTCTTTGTAAAATTCACACTACATATATTTTTTTGGTAAAGCACTAGGTTGCAAAACAATATGCATAAAAGCGAATATATGCATTTGCATGCTTTTAGGCCTTTCATGTAATTTTTAGTCTCTATTTCTTGGAAAAATTTCTATGATGACATAATACTATGCATTTAGTGGCTTAAAGGTAATTGATAAAATTAAACACTAAAATCTATTAAACGCTTCACTTCATTTAAAATTGAGAACAGTTAATTATATAGGACCCAATCAGAGTACAGGAGAAGACAAAAAGATGAGCCTTAGTAGTATGATTGAAATTAGTTTGAAAGATGCAGGAATGATGCTTCAAACTTAACAGAAAAATTGCTTTAGAATTTTAATAAAAACTGGATAGGGGCGGTTCATAAAAAACGTAGCGCTCAACTACCGATTTTTTGATCCCCTGATAAAATTTGCTTTGGAAATACCTATTTCCGAGGTGATTCCTGAATCTTGCAACAGCCCTTTCATAAGTTTTATGATGTTTGGTATTGAAGAACACACTGAATAAGGAACCTAACTTTAAATCAGAAAGTTTGAGTTGATAACTGCCATTTCAGCATGTTTTCCTATGAATGTATAGGAATCACTTAAGTCAAGTTGGCAGTTATTTACTTTTGATTGTAATGAGCTGAGAATTATTTCATGTGTCTAAGCATGGCAGAAGTACCATCCTTGATTGCTATTAGACAATGGCCGCCCAGCCACTCGCAGACAAAAAATAAACAACTGCCAACTAACCTGACAAGTGGTCAGGTAGAAAGCACAGAATATTTGACAGTGTGCAAATTAAGATAATGTTTGATGGCTAAATGAAGAGGTTGATACGAAAATGCACCCTCATGCGTACCCAAAAATTCTTCTCTTAGCCTTTAAATGTAACATCTGAAAGGAAATGCACCTAACTATTGGGTTTAAAAGATGCGATGTGAACAAATCAGAATCATAAAGTCATGCTTAGAGAGAGAAGCTTGCTTTACACATAAAATAAATACAGCACTCATATGCTGAAAATTAAAGAACAGTAAAATCAACATCAACAACAATAAAACATATTCATTGAATTTACAATCGATCCTAATTTATTCGGATGTAGAAAAACTTAATTGAATAATGGGCGCTAACCTACCTAAAGAATGATCAGTCAGATCTGTATGTAGAGCCTAAATGACATTACAAGTCAGAGACAGGATAAAGTCCTTTGAAAAGTTCTTACATAAATACGATGGAAATAATGAGTCACTAGATAGGGTAAATATTAAAGCACTGCTTGATATATTCCTCATCAAAATTTCAAGCAGTAGCTGTTCGACAAGTTTGAAAAGTTGAGGATAAAATTATGGATTAATTTTCATATGCAGCATCGAAGTTATTAAATTCAAATTATCTGCTAATGAAAAAGCAAAATCAAAGTGTGGCACATTAGCCTCTGAAAATTATCATATAATTGATGTTGAATTTCACAAAAAATTGTTTCCTGCAAATCCATGGCATATGTAAAATTCTCAGGGGATATTGAGCACAAGGCAAAAATTAGTTATTCTTGCAGAGGACTGAAAATAATTCAATGGTCTGTTTGATACTTGTAAACTTTGATTTTTTGCATGCAGATAATTTAAACCGATGAGCGCAGAAAACGCTTGTTAGCTTACCCAAATTATAAGTTGAATTTCGGAATTATTTGTGTATTTATCGTTTGTCCTAAGTTTTAAACTAGAACGATATGATAGAGTGCTTCATGGCTTACCCTATCTATTGGTTCATTATCTATTACTAATTTGAGAGATTGGGGGGGGGGGGGGGAGAATGCTCCACTCTTGCAGTTATTTTTACAAATAGTTGTGAAAAAAGAGCCCAAAAAAAGGAACGACAATTCACTATTTCAATTTCAAAAAAACTTACAAGATGGAGGAAAAATTTGCCCTGAAGATTGGCTATGAAGAACGATGTAAGTATTAAAGATAAGCTGGAACAACCCTGGAATTCTGATATCTAAAGGATTCAAATTTTATACTTGCAGCTGAACGTTGAAACTCACATTATTAAGAAAATTGAGTCATTTAAATTCGAAACAACTTCCACTGATGCTTTCTACATGATTAGTTCTGAAAAAACATGCATACATAGAGAGCTTCACACAGAAAAATTTCAGTTATTGCTGCTGACACAAGACACAGCTGAGTCTGTGTGATTTGCCATTAAAGAGAGCGCAGAAATCAAAACGATCAATGACATACGATAGCAATTACAAGTTTGAAAACAAAAGGTACCTTTTTTGAAAAAAAAAACAGGCTTCAAGTTTTTAAAACGTTCCCTTTTTCATTGTTATCTAGTGGGCCACAAAAATGTGTTTATAAACAATCTACTTAATGATAACATTTGGAGCAGAAGTTTTACAAACCCCTTTTCTAAAATTGATGATTGATCAACATCATACTACAAATAGCAAAATACATGATAGCTGCGTATTTTCCTTTAATGAATAAAGCATGTTCATCCAAAACACTTCATGCACACCTGGAAAAATTGGTGAGCCTGCTCTCTCGTGAGATAGAGACATTAAATTCCAAATAGTGTGAATCACGCTATTAATGATAGCAAAAATAACCTTGCAGGATTCTTAATTTTATTATTCGGCAGGTAATTTATTTGATTGATTCGACATGCAAGGACTTTAGTTGTTTGAAATAAATTTCTTCACTACTTTAGGCAGGTAGGTGCTTTGAAAATTCTCCATTCTTAATTCTAAGGGAATTCTTAACCAATCAGAAGAGCAAATACAAAGAATTATCATTGAGATTTATTTTCTCAGAATTTCATCCCGTTCACAGGGTTTTCCACCAATATTTACAAACAAGATAATTTGCCTGACTGTTACAGAACAAAAGGAACAGGATTAAGAGAGACACCTAAAAAAGAGAATAATGATAATTATGGGACAAATAAAATGACAGCTAAATGCAAACATTTAATATCCTTTTGGCAAAAGCTTACTCCTGCTTTGGCTTGAGATTTGCAACTATGCAACTGCTCCAAACAGCTGAAACAAATAGAAATACATATATGAGAACAAAAGATGCAATAAAAAAAACCTAAACCTGCCTAGTTCATCGTCTCCTGCACAAGAAAAAATATCGTAATTGCGCTGACTCCGTATTTCTTACTAACAATTTATACTTTAATGGGAGCTTCATCACATTAATTTGCCTACAATTTCGGTTGATTTTTTTCCAGGTCATGAGATTCTGAATTTGAAAAATCTTATTTCATTAAGTTCAAATGAAGCGTTCTAATTCAGAAAAAAAAGGAGGGGGAGACCTCCTACTGGGACGAATTATAGAAAAATTCAGGTCAAAATGATGCACTTGAGGATGAATACAATGGATACCTTCATACAAAACAAGTTTATCTTCACAAGGAATTTATTCTACAATGCTACGGAAAAGCGCCGCTTAAACATTCGGTAGTTACCAAATTTCTCCGTTTAAAACATTAATTTTCATGGAAAATGAAGAATATTTTTCCTCTAAGTGTTCGAATAATTCAGATCAAATCACAAACAAGATTATCTGAAAAATTTGAAGAGTGATATCCAAAGATTTCTCAGAATATTCGTGTTTTATCAACAGAAATTTGGTAAAATCTGAAGACTCATGCGGAGTTTTTCCATAGAACAGCTGCATTGCAGATAGACTTCTTTGGCAACAGGAATGCTGAAGTCTTGATTGCTAATTCGGCATTGCTTCCCCTCCAAGTCAAAACATGATGGATCCTGAATTTTTAAATTTTTCCTCATCATTCAATTTCGGGAGAGCTATGTTGCCACATTGTCCGATCGTACAACCATTTGATGAAAACAAAAGGAACTTTTGCTTGTAAAACCGTCAAATTGATCATACTGCATTTCTCCATTGTAAGAGGGGTCAGTTGCAATAATTATCTGCTGCGATGCTATGTAGACTGTTTTCAAATTGAACTGAACTTCCTGTATTAGTGCACCTTGTTTTTTCTATTCACAATCATGGTCTCAAATAATGGTAAGCATTAACACTCAGTTCACATCTACTGTTCCAAATTCAAACATTCATTGAAGGCAACGGCAAAAAAGCTTTAGAAAAATACTGCATACTCAGGGGCCCTTCAAGTATTACGTAAGCTACCGAAAGGAGGAGGGGGTCAAGCTCAGTCACACATATGACATACGCCTGTAACTCTAAAAAAAAAAATTTTCGGATGAAAAGAATTTTCGCAGCTATTTTTTAGGCTTTCTTCGTTACTTTTTAAAAAAATAGGGATGGGAGGGTGTCAGGTCCGTCTTAGATGATTCAAAAGGGGGATGGAGTCTTACAGGTGCCTAACGAGAGGAAAGGTGAGACTAAAGAAGGCATACTCAATACTAATATAGCCCCATCTACGTTAATACTTAAATATTACAGGGAAAGAATGCTGGAGAGTTGTCCAAATTTTGAAAATTCTATACTTTTGGCATTTGTTGCTCTCTAAGAAGCCGAGTGACATAAATTTCCGAAGTATTTACATGAGAAATTTTTGTTCAAAACTCAATTTTTGCGTAGGAGCAACCACAAACTATTTTGAACTCAGGTTTTTTTCCATAAAATTTTTAAGCTCGAATTATTTGGATTTCGCCTGAGGTGACTTACGTTGCATTTTTTACCTGTAATCTTCTTGTACATTAAGAACGAACTACATCAATCATGCTGGTAAATATTATCAAACTAAGATTTTGAAAGCTTGCAACAAAAATGAAAACCTTTCTCACCTCCATTTTGTTAGCTTCCTGCAAGTCCTCAAGGATAACTTTACCACCCTCCTGGGAAAGGTTACACATGTTACTCTTTGACAGAGCATTTTTATTCAATACATGTGATACAGTAAACGTCACTTGTCATGTTGATTTAATTTCCATGCAAGTTTGTGTCAGCGTGCTACCTACTGTAACTTCCCTTGTGTCTGTAATCGTAAGTATGATGCAAAATATCAAAGACATTGAATCACGTAGACCGTGCGTCCGGCTCAGATTAGTGCAGGCGGAGCAAAGCAAGTCTCTCGGAGCCCCATGATGGGCGGGCGGGGAAGGGGAGAGAGCGTGTGTCCCAAGCACTCGAAGAGACTGCAGAGAGGCAATGGAGAATGCATGCCCACGCTCGGTTTTTCACGAATATCTCGTTTAGAGTCTGTTTTCAGACAAAATTCCTAAGAAGACAAGTTTTAGAACACATAATTTTACACCCGAATGGCATTGTTTCATTTTTCCGAACTAATTATTGACCGAGGAAAAAAACCTCATAATCTGACAAAAATTCACTGGAGCCGCTACTGTGCATGCGCAGATGTGAGCAACTGGGACACACAAACTCATCGATGTGGGTCGTTGCCACCACTCATCGGCATGCAAATTTTTAAAAGTTGTCTTGCCTTCCGTAACACAGGATACACGGTCTATGTGATTCAATGTTTTTGAAAAATATCCAGCCCACAAGAGAGCACAAAATTTGGTTGGATTTGATTACTAATTTGGACTTCCCACTTCCTCTTAAAAAAACATGTTTAATCGCAAATACTTCGACTGCAACTGGACCAAAACCTACTATGGTTACATCAAAATGTACTGAGAGCCAGTAGACCCGCACTGATGTGCAGGGCTTTTCCAATAATGATAGCTAGTTCAGTTTTCATCACTTGCCTTAAAATGAATGTATACTTTGTAAAATTGGTATAGCCAGTATTGTATCTGCCAGTGTACAAGCTTCACAGTTTGTTGGCTGAATACTAGATTCGTTGCAGATTTTAGTTGAAGTGTAATAGAAACTTGTGATTTCATTGAAAAAATTTAAAAATGATTGTCATTTATATTTAATTTGAAGTAATGTCAATCCTACAAACATTAAAGTAAGCTTACCAGGTAAAAAAAGGTATTCAAGCATATTCAAAAATTTTGATCAAAATAGCTAGGTAGGCAACTCCTAGAATTTTGGATTCTAATTAAAGCGCATTTTACAATAAGGAACAACTATTTCAGGCGTTGCATACGAGAATGGAGAGGCCGTAACTTCGATCCGGTGATGTCACACTAATAGATGAAACTCGGCCGCGATTTAACATAAGTTCTTATGGGAGAATGCATGACACATGTTCTTTTTGTGCTAGTATCTTTTCAGGGGTTGATCTTATGCAAAAATTCATAAGAACCTTTATGAAAAAAAAATAAAATTTCACAGCAGAAAACTGCCTAGTTCATAAATTACATTGTCTGATAATTGAGGAAATAAAAGCTAAACATGACTAAATACCGAAAATCGTTACCCCACTAAGATTCAAAAGTGCCGCTCGTGCAACTTTGGCCGATCGACAGCAGCTCTGATTGGTTAACACAGGATTACTCTACTAGTTTGACGTCATGAAACCAAGTAATTATAGACTCTCCATTCATGTAGGCAACGTTTCAGGCTCATTTAGAAAAGCACCTATCTAGAAAGAGAATATAATGGTACATACGTTGTATCTAAAATGAACCAGAAATAATAGTTCCTTACTGGAAAATGTGGTCAAATTCGTCGTCTCTCGCACAAAGGAACGTATCTTGTCTGCGCTGTTTCTGTATTTCTATGAACATTTTATTTTTTCATGGGAGATTCATTATCCAAATTTGTCAAAAAATTGTAGGTGTATTCTTTCACGAAAATTGAAGAAAAGTCACGGGATTTGTTAAGCAAATTCATACAATGGTTCTCATACAAAAAAATAAAATGTTATTAAGAGATACTGAGACAGCGCAACCAAGATACGTTGCTTCAAGCAGGAGACAACGAATTATAGTCATTCTGTTTCTACATTTTCAGGAACTCACAGCTCTGCTCTTATTTCCCTGATCTTTATGTATTGGGAAATTAGAAGAAAACAATTTTTAACTAGAAAAGAAAATGTAATGATCATTCAAGAAACTTACAAGCATGAGAAAAGAAAGTAAAACTATCTGTTTTCGTAACATGCAAGGAAAGGAAAACATTTAAAACTAAACTGATGAGTATATACTCTCAGAGAACAAAGTGGGTTGAACAGGACCAAAACATGTATTAAATTCAGTCCTGTTCCAGATACTGTGATCAACAGAGCCTCTAAAATTTTAACTCAAGTTCAGACTGATGTGACCCTGCCAATGTAAGTTATTTCAATGGAACCGATGATTTGAACACATAAAATATAAATCTTAGCACAGGGACAATGATATGCAAAATATTCAAATGACCATTGAATAGTCTGCTTGTGTGACATTATTTTATAAAAATTGCACTGAACTATCTCCCAGCTCTCAATCACGAGCAGCTATATTGAAGGCGGGAAGTCTCTGTTCCGAAGTTCGAGTGAACAAATCTAAATTTGTCCTTCCATGAGAATGGATTCAAATTGAATCCATTGGGGCAAATCTAGTTAGTACTTTTAAACGGAAATATACCAGCCCTCAATGAGCGATTGTAAGCTGCACCACCGGCCATCAGAGGCACTACAACGGACTTAAATATAGTAAATATAGTCATGACTCCTCTTCAGTATGTGTAAGTATGTACAATTGAAAGGACCCACAAAATTCGATCCCCGGCTGCTCGAGTGATCGCTTAGAGGATAGGTTCAAGATGGGAACTTGTATGCTTCCTGCTAAGTAACAAAAAAAATAAATGGCCAAAACGCGGAGCTACATACCTCTGTTTGCAACGTTGCAAAATTTTTGTCATACATTATTTTTTCTTTGGAAGACTAGTTGATTCAAACTCTTGAGAACTTCCTTGATTTGGTTAGTAGAACATATTCTGTATAATTTCAAGCTATGTGGTTAACTTATTTACCTTTAGAAAAAAAGAATAGGACTGGAAATTTTGAAACATCACTATGGAGAGACATGATTTTGCACTTTGGCCATCGATATGCTACAATTATTTATTTTTTGACAGGTCAAACATCATTATTCAGGCTTCATCATTTTTGAGATAAAAATAAATTCACACTACACTTCGTTACAAAGATGGACATTTACATCTTTGATTCCAAGATTAAACAAACAAATATTTCTGGAAGACATAATTTACTTCTGAATAATGGTGGAAAAACGCTCATCAAAAATATGGGAAAAATAATATGATGCAAAAAAGGGAGTATGCTTCAAACAGTCAAACAATTAAAAATGAATTCACGAGTCCTTCGTGAGAGTTAAAATTTACAGTGTAATTGTCAAGAAAAACCAACTTCCAAATTTTTTAATTTTTCTTTGTTAATTTTACATTTGTGTGCCACGATGGAGGATAGATAAATTAAAGTTGTTTACTCCTGAAAAGACTGGATAAATTATAAACTGACTTAGTTGCTTGGAAACCATCTCAAACTCTAACATTACTGAGGAATTATGATGATGACTACCAATAACGATAAACATTCGAAAAGAAAAAGTTCCACATAAAATCATACATTATATAAGGATTTCAAAGCCATGATTTAAACTATTAATTACATAAGGAATTTGATAGAAATTCCTGGCTTCATTTTTTCTTTATTTAAAAGACACTGAAAAAAAAAAAAAATCATGCAACACTTTACACTCATATGCATAAACTGCAAACGAAGTACTTATACATGCATTTTGAAATCAAACACATAATACTAATGGCCAGCATGCGTTTGAGAAGATCATGTCATCACAGAAAATCCTTTGACAATCTTTCTCGCAAATCACTTTGGTTAAATATTGCATTTCAATATAATGCAGTAAAATAAAGTGAAAGTTAAAATGATGAATGATGAAATAAATAAAAAAATTCTTCAATAAAAAGTGCTTGGTATTCCCTAATTTAAATTTCAAATTGCAGCAAAAATAATAAAAAGCCCCCAGTTGTTAAATAAAACATCAAAATTCTAGAATTCAATTACTGCAGAGATCAATGAAAGGAAGAATATTTTGAAGTCATTGCAACTTTAGTCCGTGTCAAACTTAGTCTGAGTTTTTCAGCTTAGAGAAATACGTATCAATACTTGGTGAAAACAAGTTAAGTTGTTGTCTGAACTTAAGAATAAATTAAAAATTACAGTAATAAAAGAAAAGAAATACCTAAAAAATATATCAAAACTGGTGCTGGTAGACCTAACTTTAACATATCTGTTAAGGTTCAATTATCGTTGAAACTTGTGTTACATTTACAACATGACTTGACAGAAGCATTCCACAGTTTTTTTTTGGTGAACCTTGCATTGAAATACATGCCAGAGATTGGTAGAATATTTAATTTTAGCTTGTCAAGGACAGGTCAAAGGGAAACTAAAGAGTCTGGGTAAAGGTTTAGGGCATAAGAAGGACAAAAATTTCCTTTTAACAGCACCTTTATAGGCTAGATGGGGAATTCCAAGTCTATATAGTTTTATCAAAAAGTCAGATCTCTCTTCAGAGGAAAGAAATTTGGCACTGAAAATTACTGAGTAATAGAAATTCACTGGTAAAACTGATGGCAAAAAGAAAGGTTCGTAAAATAAAGAAAAACAATTTTTTTTCTCTTCTAAAAAAAGGCAATTGGCAGAACAGTTGAAATAAAAATTGTAAAAAAAGTTGGACCAGAGTAAAATTTAGTCTGTCACGACGATAATTTATCTGCCGATAGCAAGTATTGAAATTGAGTTTGTTTCCCACTGACATTTCATTCATCGCATTAAATTTTGAATTGAGAACCTAACCAGCCACAGAATATGGTCAAACAAGTGTTAGGACCTTATATTAATGGTAATTTCATGAAAGTAATGTTAAAATGTTCTTAAAATTGACAACAATTAAAATACACTAAAAATAAAAAATGAAACATTGACTCATAAGAATTGAGTGGCGTAACTCAATAAAACAAATCACAGACCAAATACACGAGGCTGGATGCGAATACATTCATATTTTTTATTTTACCTTTATTTCACTACATGCCTGCCTCATCTTGCCTAAACATGGCAGTTTCTTCAAAGATGTACTGTTTCAAAGTCTCTTTGGGCAAATCATCTAGTTCCATTGAAAATCGAAAAGGTTCCTCTGCGACAGGCTGAAAAAAAAAGAGACAAAAAATTGTGTTACTTAAGTTACTTTAGCTTGCCACAACGGGTCTAGTCCACGTTGTCTACGCAAATCATATATCACTGACTGGATCTGTTACCCTCCCATCATGATATTCCAGTTCTGCACAAGCGCCTGTAACACCCCTTCTCATTCCTGATAACGCTGTTCATTATCTTGATAAAATTACCAATAAATACAGTAGACAACACCAGGATGTCCGTTAGATTTAAACTGGAAGGCTCGGTACATGTTTACTCTTCAAAAGCTTACGTAGGAAACTATTTACTCTACAAGAAGTTTGGAAATAAAATCCTGAAAAAGATATTGAGTAATATTTTTGACACATATCTAATGAAATTTAGATTATACAAATGATGTAATCTGTATTTTTGCCACTTAACTATATTCTTATACCTTTTTCATCTTCTTCAGGGGTTGATTTCTAGACTTCCTATTGTGTAAATTGTCTCTCAAGTACAATAATATAATAACATAGAACATGTGGCCTTCATACATTTTATTTACATTGAATTACATTCTTGTGCTAAGCTTTTCAATCCCGAGGATCATCATCAGGCACGAAGCACCACACAAATTAGATTACATGCATTAGTAATTACTCATTAAGACTCATTAGACTCGAGTAACAATTATACTTAAAAATACTTATTACACTCACATAAGATAATGAAGAGAAAACAAGTTGTCCAAAGGCCCATTGGAGGGAACAGAAGTGATTTTTAATTGTCATTTCATCCATTGAATTAACTTGATTCCTCTCTTAAATTGGAATTGAAGATAACAAAGAAGTAGGGCTGTGCGAATAGTGACGTTTCCGAACGAAGCGAATAGCGAATAATTTCGGCAACTATTTGCGAATAGCGAATAATTTCGGCAACTATTTGCGAATAGCGAATAATTTAAGTCAATTAATCACAGCTACGAATAGTAAAACGAATGATTTGAAATGACTTTTTTTAGTGTGAAAATTCGCAAATATTACAAAAGGTACTCTTGGAGCGACCAAGATATACGGGCCAGTCGCAATTGCACTCGCTGTTCGTAAAGTCAACAAAGTCGGTTAAGATCAAAGGAGATCCGCTGTTCACGATGTCTCGGATGGAAGCGGAAGCCTTGCGCAGGTCCTCACAACGTTTCACGATTGCCACTCGGAAATTCGTTATTTTTGATGGCGCGAATATTTGAAAATGTCAGTTCAAAAATTCACTATTCGCGACAGCGCGATTATTCGCAATTTGCGAATAGTGCGCGAAGCAGACAAAGCGAATATTCGGCGAATATTCGAGGCGCGAATAGTCAGAATTGCGAATATTCGCACAGCCCTACAAACAAGAAAAAGTAAAAATATACCTCATCAGCAGGGTCATAATACTGTTCCAGGTAAGGGTGGGCAAGGGCATCTTCAACTACTATCCTGTTGTGAGGATTAAAAGTCAGCATTTTGTCGAGCAGATCTAATGCTTTGGCATCGGCTGAAGGAAATAATCTTGTCCACGGAACTTTTGGTTTGAATGGTAATGACTGCAGATAATTGCGTGCCTGCAATGAGAATATTATTTAGCAAAAATCTTAACGATCACGTAATGATTCATAATTTACATTATAAACCTGAATTCAAATTTTCTGCTCGCGAAAAAACCATAATCAACGTAAGATAAATTAGGTATTGAAATCAACCAATACATTCGGCAAATAACTATAGCTTGGTTTCATACACATACGACACGCGGTTTCCTCCTCTGACACAAGGTGTCTTCAATTCTGTCAAAAAGCAGTTAGCACACAGGTAGATGCTTTCATCTTAAAACATACCGATGTCTTTAGTGCTCCATTTTATTTAGGTAAACTCAGGTTTTTCTGTGAGTGGGATGTGAGAAATGACGTAGACGAAAACCATTATACCTATTGTAACAGTTTGCAACATTGCGGACTTTCTATCATATTTTATTTTTTTGTGTTGAATTTTGAAAAATTTGATTTGTCCATCGTATTTTACGTAAAACTTTGATACGGTAATATATGTAGTGGTTTTTAAATTCATATCGATGTAAAACTCCCAAACTAAGTAACTCGGTTTGCAACATTGTATGCAGACTTCCTATCATGTTTTATTTTTTGAAAGGAAAACTACTCAACATCGATTCTGAAAAACGCTTGTAATTTTTCGTCTTTGTGCAAAACTCCAAGGAATGGTGTTGATCTGTTTTCCTTTAAAAAAGTAAAATTGAAGCGGAGCATCAAAGCATCACAAATGAGATACGTGGTTTGGGTATTTCACCCATCTTGTCTCATGATACATTTACACCATGTACTTCTCGGAGGTACTTCAAGAAAAGGAATTTATTTTTTCCGTGGTTATTGATGAGCATATAGTTGGCTCCCTCAGAATATTTGATTTCTGAATATATGTGGCCTTGAGTCCTTTGGTTGCGTTTACAGAAGTTTTCGAAAGACTTACCAATGTGGATCTGTTCGATATTACCCTCATTTACATAGAGAAAGTAGAACCAAAAACTACAAACTAACCTTATCATTGATGATACTTTCCAGATCTTCCTGGGTTGGAGATCCAAGAATACCTAGAATATGATTTAGTTGATCTAAGTAGTGTTTCCCTGGGAATAAGGGTCTGTTTGACAACATTTCAGCAAGAATGCATCCTACTGACCAGATATCTATTGATTTAGTATAACCCTGAAAGCATAAATAAACAAAAAAGGATAAGTGAAAAGTTTATGTAATTAGTTAGAAAGGTACAGCAGTAAATGTGTCGTCCAAAAAAATTAGTTTCCCATATTTTTGGTGAGCAGGTGTTGGGTTTTGGTTGGTTAAGTTTGTCAAGATATATCATGGAAATTAACAAGAATAGATTAATGTCCTTTTTTGGTGTCTATCATGAAGTTGCTTTATACTGATACTTCATTTGTACTTAGTAATTTTTTTAGACGTTGACAAGTTTCCCTTGACAGCTAAACAAGTACCAAAATTTTCCAGGGCCAAAAAATACTGCAAAGATACAAATAGTAGCTCCCCAAAAGAATCTACTATGACTCAACACTCACATGGAATAAGTTGAAAACAAGGTCTCTTTAAGAGTTTATCAGGAAGTAAAGAGTGAACTTCTCTCCTCATCTGCGGGCTGATTGTTGAAATTGATAGACAAAGCGATAGACAAAGAAGACATAGGGAGTATGGAGCGATCCTATTGGTTGAAATGGGTGGTTCCTATCGACAAAGTGAGAAAATGATAGACTAGCTGTCGGGTTTCTCGTAGGTTGCCGTTAGTTAGTCTATTACCTACCTCCTTTGTCCATTGCAACCACCCGCCTCCACCATTAGGATCTCTCCATATCTCTTTTGTCTCCTTTGTCTATAGCTTTGTCGATCAATTTCAATAATCGGCCCGCTGTCAAGAGCACAAGCGCCAAAAAAAAATTACCTGAGATGGAGAGTTGAATATTTAACCATGAGTAGAAGGCCTACCTAACGATGCATTTCATAATAAATGGCGATTTGAACACCTTTTTAAACATATATATTAAGGAGATATTTTTGGAAAGTGCCAAAAATAAAATCACAAAAACATTGCAAAACCACTGTTAAAACATTAATTTTGCCAGTAACGTTGTGACAAGGTTTTCGCAACAATTTGTTGCCAGGCAGAATAAGATGCAAGCATAAAGATACACTACCAATACATGAAAACAAACGACTAACACTGATGTTTTGCCTTTCCCCTGGCATTTTTCTTTTTCTTTGGACTTCTTGGGATGTACCAAAGTGAGTCCAAAGAACGTCCAAACCACGAGGACTCCTTTTCAAAGCGAAGTTCCATCATCTTAGCACTCTTAACAAAGTACTTCTTTTTTTCTTCCTTTAGAAGTGATTTAGGGTTCTTATTTTTAATGAAACGACTAGCATTTGTATAACTTGACTTCTGGTTTACAGGTTCTACTTCTTCACGATGAGACTGCTCTTTCGTACACTGATTAAATACCGGTGATGATGAAAATGTATTCATGAATGGATGATTGAACTTGGAAAAATATACATTTTGATTGATGGACTGAGGTTCACTTAAGGGGGAACAATTTTTGGCAGATAAACTGAAAGGAATGGGTGGCCGAAAACCATAATTTTGATCATAGTTAGGAGGTATTAAGGTGTCGTTAAAAATAGGATAAAAAGGAGGAGACATGTTTTTGAGAGGCGACTGTTTTCTGCTCATCAGAAACGCAGTTTCAGCTCGAGAAAGTAACCGTACAGAGTCTTTAGAGTCACGACCGGCATCAAGATTGGGAGCTGACTGTATTGATAAGGAAGATAAATTTTGTTTTGCTTGATACAGACGACGTTGAGGCATTGTATGAAATCTGAATGATAGATGGGTTGGGATGATTTCTGATTCAGACAGATGGTTAAGGCTGTGTTGAGCCTTTACAAGACGAGGTGTCTTACGACGATCATGCTTCTTGGCATTGGAATACTTCCTTGGCAAGTCGTGATTGACGTTGTTCTTTATCGCAGCATTTTGCGAGATATTTTCAGTTTTATTGCATTTTGAAATGAAGAGTCGTTTTTCTAGAGAGTTTTCAGAGGATCTTTCTAGAAACTGATTACCAATACTATCTATCACATTGACTTCATTCAGCATGGATTTCTGTGATCCTGGATAATCTTCAAACCATTTTGACCGTCTTGGATTAGAAGAAATGGGCTTCCCGCTGAAATTCTTTGGAACATTTTTCGTGAGGCATGAGTAGGAGATAGTCGGGATTGCAGACAAGCTCTTGTTGATAAGACAGGGGTTTAGGTTACTGAAAGTCTGCACAGCACTTTTAGGTGAATCCAAGAAACTAGAGGTTAAGTTAGACTCTTCTAAGTGAGTTGGGCTTGAGGTGGTTATTTCAAATTTCCCCACTTCTGCAAGATTTTTACAGTTCGAAAATTGTTCTTCAGGTAAAAGTAAATCAGGGTTTTGATTTGTCGAAAGAACTGCAACATTTTGAGAGGAAAATTTAGAAGAAGGGCTCAAATTAGAATTGCACTTCGTGCCTTTTACATTAGAAGGTCTTGGGGAGATATCACAAGGAGCTTTGGATGCATTGAGGTTGCAAAAGTTGGCTTTTGAATTACGGTGGGTAGCCAAATATTTATTAGCAAATGCAGAGCTTTTGGATTTTCGAACATGACAATGTTTACAGTAACGAGGTATAATATTCCAAAGCTTTCTACTAGGGTTTGGAGGATTTGTTGGACTATTTTTCTGAGTGTTCCTTTTGGGACTACTCAGGTGAATGTTCCCTTTCGGACAATTTTTGTGAGTGTTCTTCTTCGAACTATTTACGTGAGTGTTGCTTTTTGGACTATTTTTAGGAAGATTCCTTTTTGGACTAGGTAGTGAGAATGGAAAAAATGTAGGCTGGAGAACTTTGTAGAGACTTGGTCCTGATCGAGACTTTGATTTTGATGAGGTTGTAGAGGTGCTCTTGGAGTAAGATTTCTTGAGATTTTTATTATTTACTGAAGATTTTAGAGCAGATTTATTAGACTGTGTGTTTTTGCTAGAGATTTTGGTGCTGATTGATACTTTACTGAAGGAGGAATTAACATCCACAGACCAAGTTAGTTTAGATTTTTTTTTCACATTACACAGGTTTTCAACCAGATTGCAAGACTTGTCCTTTGCTGTCAGTTCATTTCTGACCATGCTGTAAACCTCAGAATGTGATACTGTCGGAAGTTCTACAGATTTTTTGGGTAAAATGTTTTGATTCTTAACATCCCCCAGCATCTCTTGGTCACTAATGTTTCCTGGATCATTAACATCTTCAGGTATCTCAGGGTCTCTGGACTGGCCAGTTATCTTTTGACTTCCAGGATTTCTGGGCAAATCAGTATTTCCAAGACATTCTAGACCGTTCGCATCTGTTATGATCTTTGGGCTATGAGTATCGCTGAGCATTTCTAATTCTTTTTGAAGGTGCTCCATTTCCACACTTGTAGATTTATCGGCAGCTCTGTTAGTTAAAGTTCTACTCTTCAAAGAGGTGCTCAAAGGTTTTACACCTCTCTCTCGGGTATTCAGTGCTGCAGCTTCAGCAACAGGATCAAAAAAGGAAGCACTTTTTGCCACGAGGGTTTTCGCAGAGTCTGTGGTGTAAGTTTCACGGGACACAGTTCCTTCTGGTAAAAAATAATGGGCCCATAAATGATTGAACCTCCCGAGGAAGTTTCTCCTGAAACACTGTTTTTTTGAGTCATGTCCCGGAAGACAGGGAGCGCTGGATGAATCATAGGTAATGGTTGTTTGTGAGGTAATTGACGTAGTTGGATCACTTGAGGTGTAGGTGGAATAATATTTTTTACTGCCTGATCGTCGCAGGTCTGTAGCTGTGATAGTAGTCCATTGCCTAAAGAATGGGTTCCAATGACTTCCATGTTGGCGAGAGGATATGTCTGTGTCATCTGTTGAAGAGGTTGTTAAAGTTCCAGTCAGAAACGAACCGAGGCAACTGGATTGGTCAGACAAAAACGGATTGTCACTGGAACCAGATGAAATTTCTTCATTGTAGGCTTGGCACAATGTTGAAATTTTCTCATTAATCTCTTTCTTTAAATTACAAACACATACACTACTGATAGGTTCTAAATTATAGGAAGGTAATTCATGATCATGAATTGGGGGATAGAACTTGACGGTTTCAGTAGATGACGCACTGCAAGTAGACGAACTGCAATGTGGACTTTCATCTTTGGCAATTTTTGAGCTGGTTGAGTGCAAGATATGGGAGGTGGATTGACAAAGAGATGAACTCCCATTTTTGATAGTTTGAGAGCTGCTTGATTCAAGGCCAGGTGTAGACCTTCGCATTTTGGCAATTTGTTAGTGCAAAAATAGGCTCTACAATTTTTGGCTATTCTCTGTATGGGAAAATGTGCATACTGATTTTTAAACTTCACCTGATGCCCAGAAGACTCACCTCTGGTGAACTTTTATGGATATTTGTTTTTAGGTACTTGCTTCTTTAAATTTGTAACATGCGAAATATGACCAGTGTGATAATTAGTTCCATTTTCTGGTTCACCAATAGACATGGCTGCACAGAAACACATGTGTGACCGTTCAAAGTTGGATGGGGCATCAATTAAAGTCACACTATGAAGTTCTTCACTAATTTTAGTGATTGATTTGGAATTGTCTTTTGTTTTTTTTTAAATTACAAATTACACAATAGCTACAAACTATAATTTTCCATTGTTGACACCATCATAATCATGATTTTTTTTACAGAAAAAAGGATTAATGTTGTTATTTCAATTTAAAAATATATGAGTACCAAAATATCAATTGTGTATCCAAGGCAACAGTGAGATAATTAATAATGATACACTTTGTAGGTTACAATAGATATGCATCTTTTTACAGACAGATAACAGTCAGGACGTCTGAAGTGGGTCCTTGCATGAAATAACCGAGGGGCTAGTCCATCATGAAGGGAATTCAGAACTCAGCTCTCTGCACGCTGTTCAAGAGAAATAGATTGTTTTTGATGTGCCATTTTTTTCATGAGGAGTGAGCATAGATTTGAAAGAAACAAATTTTTTGAGAGAGAAATAAAACAATCTGAGGTGCATCAATCATCATTTGACCTATTGGTTAGCATTGAATGTCTGTTGAATGGTGCCATTTTCCGGTGTGACATATGTTCATTCTTTTCTTTCCCCAGTTCTGAGAGTCTCAACTGAATACACTTTCTTGCTGATTAAATGAATGGAAGTAGTAGTAGTAAAATAATTTTATTTTAAAGCGGTGCTTTAGCATCTAAGGCCATTTAGCTAAAGAGAAGATGTTGGATGGTCGGAACAACTAGAGTTGTTTGAAGTAGGAGAACTATATGCGCTCTGCCTTCCCATTATGCAAAGCAAGGTACCTAAGTAATTCAGCGGTGATGAGGGACTGGTCCGTGATCTGAGACTCCCATTGGTTGTCAGAAGAATTATATTGGTCTTTCCGATCATTATGAGAATGAAAATACAAGAATTCACTTCAATTCTAGACCTCTAATCAAAATAGTAAGGGTCCGTAACCCCCCCCCCCCCAAATAGGAAAAAAAAAATTCGGTGCTTCAGAGCAAAATATCAGGCATTTTATAATATGAGCTATTCTATGAAGCTCGAGGTGAAAAACTGCATTCATAAAGATTATAAAGATTATTTTAGTTTCAATAACAATTAAAACTCTATGAAATATGAGAATACCTTTGAATTGAGCATAATTTCAGGAGCCCTATACCATCTTGTTGCTACATATTCTGTTAGGAATCCTGTGTGATCATGATCTGGATCAGCAACTCTTGCTAAACCAAAATCGCAAATCTGAAAGAAGAGCATGGCATCAAGAATTAAAATCAAGATTTAGATGCATTACGACACAAAGAAATCATATAATAATAAAATTGGGGACGTCAGTGTCGAGAAAAGTGAATTTACTGATTGTGAGTTTCTTATACATAAAGCTTTTCTACAAATACACAAGTCATGATTATTGGATCCCTTAGCTCTAAATTTTTAAGAGCAAGATTGGACCTTGTGCAATAATATTTTGCATTGTTTCAAAGCACATATGAGGAGGAGTTTTGATTTGAAAAAAATAAATAGGTGAGGAATGAGAAACTTGAGTGCTCCTGCAAAGGCTTCATTGTATACACATATGTCGTGTTTGTTGCATCACTCGTGTATGAAGGGGATTATATTTCATTATCAGTGAAGTATAATTTTTCATTTCCTTTTGTTGGAAGTAACAAAAAAATTTGGTTCAACAAGTTTCAGAATTATTTAAGTAAAAGTTTGAGCCGGATCCTTTACCTTTTTAAACCTGAAAGTTTTTGGGGTTTTTGGTGGTTTTTATAGATAACTCCGACAGTAAAAAATAAAAGACCACCTGACTGTGCAAGTAAAAAATTATGTCTAGTTAAAAAAAGGCGATATGCTTATGCGGTGGTACTTTTTGAATGAGACCTGGACAAAAAACTAGAAGGTGAAGGGGGGGGGGATAGATTTCTGGAAAAGCGAGCTCACGATGGATGTGGAGTGGCACAAAGAATAGAGCAGAAAATAAAGAGCCTACAATACCTTGAGGTCACACGTTGTGTTGAGGAGTAAATTACTTGGTTTGAGATCCCTGTGCAAAACATTTGCCGAATGGATATATTTCAACCCTCTGAGAATCTGGTACAGGAAGTAGCAAATGTGATCATTACTCAGCCTCTGTAACATAAGAAAATTATTTTTGGATTTATTTTGGGACATAAAGAAATTATAGCTGCATAAATGAACGACATTTATAAATTCAGAAATAACAAAAGTATCTGCTGTTGATTGCAAAATTATAGATATCGACGGTGAAAGTCGGCAATCACATAACTCGGTTTGCAACGTCGCAGACTTCCTGTCATACTTTATTTTTTAAACGGAAAACTACTCAACGGTAATTCTTTAAAACTGCCGTGATTTTTCTTCTATGTGCGAGGAAAATTCTGCAAAAACTTCAAGGAATCATGTCCATTTATTCTCCTTTAAAAACATAACATAGTTTCGGAGATTTTCAGACACCGCAAACGAGTTATGTGATTGCCGACTTGCACCGTCGATATGCTCTTTTATGATTATATCCATGCAGTTCGTCCTTAGCGAAGTCAATCCGAATGATATCATGATGAGAATTGACCGATTCTCCTATATGATCGGAGTATGATACTCGGTATCAGCATGATATTCTACTGGTATCCTGCTAGAGCCATACTTTTATCATACTGGTTTTCCCTGCCATCATATCATCATACTGATGTAATGCTGAGCCAGCATGATATCACACTGCTTCGGCCTGATATCATGATATTCAGCATGATGTCGAGTTTACCAAGGAGCATATTGAATGTCTACGTACGACTCACGTAGAAACCACATGAGTTCTTCTACGGTGGGTTCTCAGATTCCCGTTGAAGCCTAAAAGTGGTAAAACTGATCACAATGTATCACCGGTATTTTAATACCTCACTCAAATTGGACGTCATTACACTGAAAAAACAGATCGGTAGAATTTACCATTCCTTCACGCTGTATTTCACACAGCGTCAATTATTCAGAGTCAATTCTGCCAGAAGAAAGGTAAACGTTACTATATACTGGTACAGGTAACCATTCCGCTGGCAGAATCGACTTCGAATTCACGCTGTGTGAAATACAGCGTGAAGGAATGGTAAATTCTACCAATCTTTTTTTTTTCATTGTACATTACGATTAGCCTAACTTTAACCCATACATTCAGCCTGACATAAAAAATGTCCCAATTTTTTTTTCTCGTGTTTTATTTCATTCCCAGAAAACTAAGCAACATTTTGATTTGAAAGGTAGTATTTTTTTTCATAATTAGAGGAAAATCCAGAGAAATTTTCGAAGCGATGTGTTGCTCAATTCTTGTTTGAAAAATAATATACGAGAGACAAGTAGGCAGCGTGAAATACAGTAATGTCGTTTTCGGCGAGACCCGTCCACATCGTGCACTCCGGGTGGCGTGGCGTGAATAATCGATGATCGATATCTCCCCATTTGAAGCTATGGTAAAGAATCGATTATTAAGGTGTTCGTTGCGAACACCCTGATAATCGATCTTTTTTCATAGGTTTAAATGGAACCACAATCGATATATCGCAATTCACGCCACGCTACTCGTGCACTGGTCGTTACCAAAAAGACAACCCTGCCGTACTGAGGAAAAACGCCGTACGAACATTCGAGAGTTGCCAAATTTTCCTCGATAAAACATGTATTTTTGACAACATCCATGCATATTTTTCCTTGAAATTTTCAGATAATTCAGATTAAATTGCGTACAAAATTTTCTGAAAATTTTGGAAAATAATATTCGCAATTTTCCCAGTAAATTCGGTTTTAATCGGAGGAAACTTGGCAACGCCTGAAGGCTCATACGGCGCTCTTCCTTAGCACGACAGCGGGGCGATTATTGAAACTGATAGACAAAGCGATAGACAAAGATGACATAGGGGGTATAAAGCAATTCTATTGGTTGAAATGGGTGGTTCTCATCGACTAAGGGGGAAAATGGTAGACTAACTGTCGGGTTTCTCGTGGGTTGCCGTTACTTAGTCGATTACCTACCTCCTTTGTCCATTGCAACAACCCGTTTCCACCAATAGGATCCCTCCAAATCCCTTTTGTCGTCTTTGTCTATCGCTTTATCTATCAGTTTCAATAATCGGTCCGCAGAACTGGACGTATTTACGCTAAAAGGAACTACGGGCATGAGGATTTATGTGCAACATTGTTCTTTTCAACCAGCGGCGTGGCGTGTTGTGCGATATATCGATTGATTTGCTATAGAACTATGGGAAAGGATCGATACAGGGTGTTCGCAGCGAACACCTTAATAATCGACTTATTACCACAGCTGCAAATGGGGCAATATCGAAAATCGATCATTCACGCCTCGCCACTGTTTTTAACATGGATACGTCCATGTGCAGATAGAGGTTCGCGGTTCAGCGACATAAACGACCGGGTGAAGCAAGCCGTGAAAGGCAATCAATATGAACGACATCAAAAAGTCCTGAGTTTGCATCCCTGCGGGATTGTCAAATGTTTACATTGGTGGTATTACTTCAGCAAAGCTCAGCAATCATTCTCCTGTGCCGAGCTGAATGCAATTTTCTGCTCCACCCTATGACGTTTGCGAAACCGAAAAACAAGTCCATCGATTCGCGATGCGGCGGATTCGTTTTATTTTTACGAGGGGAAATTAATCGTGAGAGTTTCTCAGATGCGCCATTTTTCATTTCCTCGCTCTGCGTTTCGTCTCTGAGCTTGCGTTCGAAAAAACTGGGCTACGTTACTCTGAGGAGAGAGAGGCACACTGCACAGTGCGGGTAATCGGAAAATCTTGTAAAAACAACAAGAATTCCTTTCGGAGAAACAGTGAAGGCGTCGGGAATGCAGCGACTGCAAAATCGCGGAAATTAGAGCCCCGAAAATTTCAGCATTCTGATACACGTTTCTTAACCAAAATTTTACGTAAAACACGATGAACACAACGAACACAACGAAAATTACCGATATTGACTCCTTACGAAGATATTTAATGATTCTTGATGCGTGAATTCAAACCACCCGCTCATGAAAACTCAATGCTCTACGTGATTCACATCGCGCGCTAAACGTTATCATGACAGTCTCTGCTATATAAAAATCTGGCAACCTCAATCTTGACGCTTTGGCTCAGTTATAGCAAATTGCTAATAGTTTGAACAACACATGGTGGGAAATGAACATTGCTCGATTGAGAAGCTTGCTGAGACCGTTGTAGTGGGCGATTTGACTCACGTAGAGCTTTGAGTTTCTTGTGAGCGGGCAGTTCAAATTCCTCGTAGCCAATGTGAAATAAAAGCGTTAATACCTTCGTTAGGAATTGGTTTCAGTAATTTCCGTTGTGTGAATCGTTTTCTACGTGAAATTCTGGTTAAGAAACATGTATCAGATAGCTTGAATTCGTACCTTGTCTAGTGGTCCGTTCGGATAGAATTTATCCCTGGCCTTCGTGCGATATCACGCGATAACCTGGTTTTCCTCACAAAAAAGGGATGATTACTACCAGTGGCGTGGCGTGAATAATCGATTATCGATATCTCCCCATTTGAAGCTATGGTAAAGAATCGATTACTAAGGTGTTCGCCGCGAACACCATGATAATCGATCTTTTTTCATAGGTTTAAATGGCATAACAATCGATATATCGCAATTCACGCCACGCCACTGATTACTACCCGGACCTATAAGTACCAATATATAAAAGATAAACAAAAATCACTCGGCGCATGAGAGAGCGAATTCCCCGAGGAAGAGGGCAGGGTTTTAATTTTCTTCGAGGGTTAATATTCTCGGTTGTTCCACCCAAAGCGGTGTAAGCTTAACTGCCTCGCTTTTCGTTAGATCGTAAAATCCGCTCCACGGTAAGACAGCAATGACGAGGCGCGACTATCGATCTTTCCCGATTTAAAGCCATGGTGAAGAATCGATTCGTAAGGTTTTCGTTGCGAGCGCCCGTTTATCAATCCTTTTCCATTGGTTTAAATGACGGACCAATCGATAAATCGCAAAGTGAGCCATGCCACAGGGGAGAATAGCGAAAATCTCGGGGCGACCTTCAATGGATTTACCGTCCTTCGGGAACGACGTACGAACGACGGTAAACGTTGGAGCATTATGACGTTACCATTTCGTGAGCTGGACCCTGCTGAATGTATGTCTTCGGACCATCCGGGGACCAGGTGGAAATGCGTTAAGCCTGTTTCCCAGAAAGAGACGAATTTCGGAGAATATCTCGGCCCATAAAACGATGGAAGAATTGATACCTAGCGAACTGAGCCCCCATCGAAATAGGAGTTTATCTGAGAGCGAATGGTCTCTCGATTTATGATCAAACATGTGAGTCTCGGTCCCGCGACCAGTGTCTGGACACCACTGCCGTGCTAAGGAAGAACGTCGTATGAAACCTCAGGCGTTGCCAAATTTTCTTTGGTAAAATATTTATTTTTGAGAAAAATTATAAATGTTTTTCCTTGAAATTTTCAGGAACTTCAGGTGAAATTGCGAACAAAATTATCTGAAAAATTGGAAGGAAAATATTCATGTGTTTACCCGGAAATTCGTGTTTTATGAAGGATAATTTGGCAACGTCTGAAGGTGCATGCATACGGCGTTTCTTCTTAGCACGGCAGACTACCAATCCCTGGTAAAAATTGGCAGTAGAATGTGTGTTCCAAAATAATATAGACCTAAAGCCGGCTGTAAGATTTCCAATAGCTTCTGTAGCCGGCTGTACAATTTCTTATAGCCTTTTATAGCCGATGGCGATTAAGCAACAGCCAGACGATAAAGTTTATGCTAAACGTTACTAAATACGGATACTAGGACTTAGTTAGTTTTTGGACTACCGCTCTCTTTTAGTGCCGTAGTATCTTGATTTATTTTGCGAGGAAAGCTCCGTACTATTGAAGGACGCCTGTCATTCTTAATATGTTGGAGCGCCTTCAATTTCTTGTGATACTGTGCAATACCTCTGGTGTGGAATAGTTGCTTCAGACGCCGTGGCACGCTGCGGCGCGGCGGGCGGACAAAGAGCGCAAAACGCGCATTGGCGCCTACAAACCTAACAGGGATACTTCACGCATTGCGCAATGCGTGAAGTATCCCTG